CTCCTCGGGCCGGTTTAGGCAACGTCTACGCACCGCAGAAATTGGATTGGTCATGTCTCATCATTGTCTCAGGCGGTGCTATCGGTTTCACTATAATTGCTTACAATTTGTGCTGCAGTGAGGGGTGTGGAGGTCCACGGCCAACTTGACAGCCCTAAAGGTCCCCTGCAAAGTGACTCAAATTAAAGTTTTACTCACCGTGTTCTGCTAACAAAATAAATTCATTATCTTCAAGGGGATTGTGTGGGTCGGAGGGAGGGGGGGGGTTGGCCCTTCCTCACCCTTACAGAGAAGTTCGTAAAACAACACAACCGCAGATAACACAGACTTTGGCCATGCGCCTGTCTGGGTTTGCTCCCTTGTTTTCTTCTTCTAAAATAATGAAAAAACAAAATTAGCTTCTCGGGTTAAAAGGAGGGAACAATCCACCTAGAGTTGATTTTGTGAGTTTTTTCACAGGCATCCTTTGCCTTCCAGGCATACCTGTTAAGGGGTTCAGTGAGTATGAGAGGGACGGCTCCTCTAGTTGGCAGTTCTACCAGCACTGGCTGCCCAGGAGAGAAAACCGTTCCTTCAGGAGCACCGAGAGTCTGGGGCTTTGGGGTTAAAGTCGGGGCTTTAGGGCAAAAGGCATTTAGGCGGGGTCATCCGTTTACCCCGCAGCGATCATTGACCTGGTTAACCACATCCCAAAGGCATTCCCCTCAGCATGGCTCGTGAGGTTTCAGCAATGCTTTAAGAGCCTGTTAGTCCGTTCCACTATCCCATACTCCGCTTCTCTAAGAGCTAAGCTCACAACCAAGAATCCTTTTCCCACCCGCAATATTGCTTCTCAGCATCCTTAAAGCTCCTGGGGTAAAATCCAATTGCTTGGATAGGACCTTCTGGTCCCTTTTGCCAACAATGAATTGATAATCCCGAGCGTGCAAACCCCATTCAACCTGGACAGGGTCAGTGGGGTGGGTAGGACCCAAAGCCTGGTGAGCACTTGCTTCAAACACTAAAAGCAGTAATGCTTCATCACGTACAAGAGTCCATTCCCAAGCTGCTCCTTTTCGCAGCAGATTGTGTAAGAGCCGTGCAGTTATCGCAAAGTCTCAGATGTGTTTTCTCCAAAAGAGCAATAAACCCAAGGCGTGCCGCAGCTCCCTTTTCTTTTCTGGAATCTTTACCTGATCTAGTACTGACAGGGTGTCCGGTGAGATACAAACTGACCCCCTTCCCACCCTATCCCTAAAAATTTCACCTCATCCGCAGCAGCTTCTGTTTTCTCCTTGGCTATCTGGAGTCCCAGAGACTAAGTGTTTGTACCGTCTTTTCTGTGTTACCTGGACTGGATAGCTTCGTCCCCTCCTATCAAAGCTTCATCAATACACTGATACTCTAACTCCTGATTCCAGAGGAATTTGGTCTAATTCTGAGGCCAAAGCACGATGTGCTAACGTGGGAGCATGTTTACAGCCCTGAGGGAGGTGAGTGAAGGTACATTGTTGTCCCTCCCATGTGAAGGCAAAACGATCACGGTCCCCTTCCTGCAGGGGAACCATGAAAACATATCTTTGACATCAATCGTGGCCATCACCTGGTGAGCTTGTTCCTGAATTTGTGAGATTAGTTCAGCTATATTAGGCACTGCTGCCATCAAGGGGCCAGTATTAGCACTGAGTCGACGATGATCTACCATCAGTCTCCACTTCCCGTTCGGTATACGCACTGGCCACACTGGGGAATTATACGGGGAGTGAGTAAACATTAAGATTCCCCATTGTTTAAGATCCTCAGTCACGGGGCTATCCCTTCTCGGGCCCCTAACGGCAACGGGGAGGGTTTCACATTAGTTATCTTGGAAGGGGGCAAGGCAGGCGCCACTTGCAACAGGCACACTTTCGGTCCAGGACATTTCAGCTAATCTTCTGATTTGAGGAGTGCCAAAGGACCACGAGTCTCCCGGAGTATCATACCACTGTCTGCCCTTCAATACCTCTACGCCCAAGACATTTGTTGGAACGGGCCTACTGCAGCCTTGGTGTTAACTGAGTCTTCCTCCCCGGAACCACGATGTTTCCAAGACCACAGATACCGATCGGGTTTCCCCCAAAACATCTAGAGCGGTTAGGTTTTTAGATGAAGTGGGAATTCCACATTGCTCTGCCTCAGTCCACATCAGTGTGGTGATTTGTGCCCCTGTATCAATGAAAAAGTTACTGGTTTCTTCCGTGGCCCTATTGTTAGCGGTTGCAATCGCCAATAGAACTGATCTACACAAAGTAGATAAACAGGCACTCCTTTATTCCAGTGCTGGGGAACAGGGGGGATAGCTCTACCACAGATGTGTTCACCAACAGGTACAAAGTACAACATAGTTACACACTTTTTCAGCAGAGTCATGGTTCACGTGAGATCAACAAATTCATAAAGTTTAATTTGACCCTACTAATGATTGGCTTTCGCTTACCTCACCTTACCCGTATTCCTATTCTACAGAAATCATCGGTCATCTTTACTGATTGATTTGAATAGACTGGGGGAGAGTAGTGATTAGCATACTCTTGTTATTTCCTGGAAATCATTATCATATGCAAATGCCTCTAATCCATGCGTGGTTAGTTTTGGACGTCTCTCTGGTGGTCGCCGATAGTCTTCCTCACTGTGTCCGCCGGCTGACCTCCATCCGTGCGCGTGCTCATTTCATCCTTTGGCTGATCTCCCAAGCCAAGGCCAGTTTTTCTGGCACCCCTTGTTTTAATTCAAAGTCCATAGCTATTTCCACAGTAATCGAGGCAAGCACGATACTAGTTGCTCATGCCTCAGAACTTAACGTACCTTCTTTCTCATAGCTACTATAACTCTGTATCACCCACATAACCAAAATTCAAGATCAGATTCTAAAATTCAAGCTATTTCATTTGGGTATTTGTAAATTGTCACACTCGGTTAGAGGAGTTGTCCGTTCTGGATCCACAGGCATCACCATCGGAGAGCCCTGGTTAGGTTTAAGTTCTCTATCATACCACATCTGCAAACAACCGCCTTTTGCACACTTTCTACCAGTTGATCCACCGTACCTGTTGTAGCTAGGGGCTCTCCCTCTCCACAGGGTTCAGCCCTACGGCCCAATACGCTGTTTCTGATTCCTCTGGAGACCTTGCAAAATCCTTCTTTAATTCAGTCTCTGTAAACGGAACCTCTTTAGTAACAATTTGGGGATGGTCATCATCTGCGTCATGCAAATACTCCGTCTTAAAACTACGGGGTGCATATGGGAAGATTTCCTACCGTGCCCTCTGCTTTCTGCAAGCCCCCCTGGGGACTTCTAACTTTGCCTCACCTCTCTACCCCTCCAAACGAGTCGCTTTCTTTCCACAATTCGTCTCTCAATGCGTTCTTTAGTACAGAATTTTGGGTTCTTTCCTCTCTAACACCTGCTTGGTCTCTTTTAACTGCTCTCGTAGCGATGCAAGTGTTCTTTTCCAGAGAGTCTACCACAGTATTATCTTGACACAGTTTCTGCCTCCTATCCTCTATGGCCGCTGTCAAACTTGCTCCCAAAACAGCACAAATTATGGCTTCTCCCTTCCACGCCTAACTGTAGACTCCTGCACTACCCTGATCCTATCCACTATACTCTGTGGCCGGAACCAATGATTTTTCACCCATTCTCGCCCTTGGGGAGACGGGCGAGCACGATAGGTTCCCAAAAAGCCATTGGTTTATCTACATCCACATTCCATTCGTTCAGTGAAGAATGGTCAGGAACATCAACAGTGTGCAAGCACCCATTTCACCAAAGGGGGGTTATTTCGTCCTGAGAGGGTCACACCTTAAATTCACAATTCCCCCTCTATCACTCTCAGGAGGACACACCTTAAAAAGTTACTTTCCTACCAAAGTACGCCTCAGCCACACACTCACAGAAACCCCGGATAAAGTAACTGGGCATTTCCCGTTTCTCTGAGAATCCTGTCCGTGATGCCAATTACAGTGTCGCAAACCGGTCAGAGACCGGAGCGAGGTTCCGCTTGTATTCCCAGGAACAGAATTAAGAATCAAACGGAGTCAAGTGCTGCAGAACTTTATTTGCCTGTCACAAGTGCAAAAGGAGAAGAAAAGAGAAAGAGAGTAAGAGAGAATGGAGAATGGGAGAATGGGAGAAAGGGAGAAAGGGAGAAAGGAGAAAGAGGAAGGGGAAAGGGTTCCTTTCAATAGCTACCACCACGCAACTGACGGCCGGCAGTCTGGTTAGAAAATGGGTCTGTAGAGCAAAGGTGAGAGGCACCGTGAAGCAATGATGGTGGCGAGGAGAAGCGATGGCGGTGGCAAGGAGAAGCAGAGCAGTAATGGTGCGGGGAAGAAAGTCCCTGCTCTCAGCCCTCCTCTCTGTTTTATTCCCGTAACCCCACCTACCACTAGCAGTGGTGCGCATGCCCAACTCCGTTGCTGGGAGTGGTTTCCAAACCAGGAGATTTAGGTGATTTCCGACCCCCGGTCTGGGCGGGTGCGCGGGGGCTGAGGTAGCTCCGTTGCTATGGCACTGGTGGTATTGGTGATTTTGCTCCAGTAACGTCAAGGAAAACAAACCAGCACAGTCTCTGACATGGGGCAGGAGAAAGAAATAGATTTGACAACCAGGTCCACCACTGTATTCCTTTTGCGTCCTGCCTTATGTTTCATATTAAAGTTTTTCCAGGGAGCTTCTTCTGAAAAGACAAAGGGGATAACGCCGCGCCAAACGTGAGCATCGTTGGTGTGGCGGTTGCTGGCGTCTCTTGCCGGCTGGCGAGGACGCCTGCTTTGCTGCTCAGAATGGCAGAGCCGTTGAGGTGGGAAGGGGCCGGGGGAGGTGACCTCTCAAGGCCGGGTCAGCAAGAGCGGCCGGCCCACAGGCCTGGCCAGAGGGGCCTCCAGGCGGGACCCCCACCCGGGCGGGTGCACACCAGTCCGGCGGTTACACGGCAACTGTCATACAACATCACGTCGAGTGGCAAAGCGGTGATGTCACAATGCAGCAATGTGACAACACCATGATGCGCATCAGCCAGACTGCCAGCGAGCCGCTATATATAGAGCCGCTGGCTGGGAGACCGGCTGAAGCGGCAGCAGCTGGGTGCCTCTGCAACAAGAGGAGACAGCGCAGGGTCGCAGCGCCAGGAGAGCTCTTGGAAGGAGCCATGGAACATCGTCGCGCTGCTGGCGTCCGAAAGGCAGAGGCACGGCTGAACACCCGGGGAGAGAGGGGAGAGGTGAGCAGCGGCCCATGGAGAGGGCTCAGCCAGGCAGCCCGGGGCATGGCGGGGCTGCTCTGGGGCCTCGGATGTGCCTTGTCTTCCACAGCTGTGCGGGAGGCTTGTTGTTCATCTAGCAGCTGAGTGTCTCTGTTTCCTTAGCTCGGGCACAGAAGACAGCACCTGGAAAGAGGAGGACGTCCCAGGCTGCTGGACCCTGAGCTGCTGGACCTCCCACTCGGGTCAAGATCCCTGTGCCACGCGGCTCCAGGCCTCTCTTCAGCAGGGGAAAGCTGGGGGAAAAGGTAAAGGAAGTAGAAAGGGGTAGAAAAGAGCTCTCTTCTGCCACCAGACAGAGCATCTAGGCGCAGGGTTACTTCTCTGTTGCAGAGTCTCTGTAGTAGGGAGACCTTTCCTCTGGGTGGGAAGGACTCCAGGGATTAGGCTATAGCTCGGAGGACTGGAAGTGCCACCCCGTGTGCCTGAGGAGCTCGCAAGAGCATCCCTCCCTCCCAAGAACACTCTCTTGCCCCATTCTGACTCGGCAACATCTCTCTTCCAGCTTCACCGGCCCTCCTGTACTTTTAACCTGGGAGATCCATACTGTCGCCTCTTGAGCACGGAGTACAACTGCCTGCACGACCCACATCTGGAGGCGTACCACAGGCGCAGTCATAACTTTAGGAGCCTGAAGAGGGCCGGTTATGTCACCAGCGATGGCAAAGTAGGTTTTGACATCGTCAGGTTGATCAAACCGGTTCCCCCCAAGTGGTCTTCCCCGAGCAAAGAGGGAGTGGGTTCAGAGGGGGCACCTTCTCGCCCACCAGGTTCGGGCTGCTTCGGGGAGGCGCTCTGCGTAGCTGGCTTGAGAGTGCATGGCTGATTTCTCCTCTCGTTGCTCCCTAGGTGATTTGCAATCTCAAAGAGTTCAATGAGTACAGGCAATATCTGAGCACTCTCAAGCTGGAGGCAAAGAAAATGTCCAGGCAAGCAGAGGTAGGCAAAGCAGAGTGTTAGTGGACAAACACGAGCGGCATGCTGCCCAGGGCTGGGGCTGTGCTGGCTGCATCTCGGGGAGGCGGTCAGTGCAGCAGAGGTGAGGGCCGTGCTGCTGGTGGGCCGGGCGTTGGGGTGGCGGGGAAAGGCACTGCCCGGCTCGGAGCTGAGCTCACGCAGGGCTGGGGTGGGCATGGGCAGGAAGGTCGTGGGTGGCAAGCGTGCGGCGTCCTGAGGGAAGAAGCCCTTCTCTTCGGCCCTCGTCGCGTGGCTGAAGCGGAGCGCTGGCCTGGGCCCGCGTGAAGCCTCAGCACGCCGGGCCCTGAGCGCTCGTCCGGGCTGCAGCGAGCCACAGTGACCCGGTGTCGTCCCCTTTCAGGGAAGGCTTCAGCAGCACCTGCCCGAATTAAAGGATGCCCCCAAGGTGCCGGGAGCTGTGGACACTTCTCGCCTGGCAGAGCGGCTGCTGCAGCCTCGAAAAACATCTTGCCCACCTCAACCCAGGAGCAGAAAAGTCTCCCTGAGATCACGGCGCCAAACGTGCTCCCAACCTGAGCAGGGAGAGGAAGGTGCCAAGCCGCCCCGGAGGCTCAGTAGTGACGCTGACTCCGAGAGGATTCCGCCAGGCATCCTTGCAAATGGTGTGTTCGAAGCTGCATTTGAACAGCAAACTGCAGGAGGAGCCCAGAAGCTTGAAGAGCTGTCTGAGACTGCAGTGCAGCAAGTGTTGGAGACGGTGAATCTCCCTAAGAGAGAGCCACAGCCATCCCAGACGCCTTTCTCAAGGCTGCACCTGGAAGAAGGAGAAGGATTCCCCGGAGCATCTGAACAGCAGAGCCTGGAAGCCAGCAAGGGAGCAAAGTTGCCTGTGTTACCACCGCTGCCAAATGCAGCCGCTGCTGAAGTCTCGCAACTCTGCCACACGATTGTCAGGGAAAGCATCCAACGTGCCATCTCGAGAGTTCAGCAGCGCCATGCAGAGCGGACTGGCTATGGTAGAACCGTTGTCCCTGAGGTGCTTGGAACGGGGAAAAAGAAATTAGAAATGAAGCCAATGCCAACAGCCTTAGCCACATCTTTGGCTCCAAGGACCATACCTGATGACAGCGTTGACACTGTATTAGTGTGGACGTGTGCACCTGGGCCTGCACTGACACTGAAATTGAATTTTGGAAGGCCTGTCGCAACCCCCTGGCTCCAACGAGATGGAAAGGAGAGCTATCCCGCTGAGGACGCCCTTCCCTCCTTGGGCCCACCCTTTCCCAGGCAGCCCGTCCCTCTGGCGGCTCTGAAGCCCCCTGTCCAGACAGGAGCACGGCACAGATTGGTGAACATTGAGCTCGTCCAAGGCAAGCCCCAGCAGCCCATGTACAAACAAGGGCGTTAGTTGGGAGACTTGCGGACAATGGCCTCAGCAGGTGTGTGGCCAAGAGAGCTGGAGAGCCCCTGGGCAACTCCAGCAGGCAGCAAAGACGGACCTTACAGCCTTGTGCTTCCAATAAAGAGTTGACTCCCGAGTGCTCGCCTTGTGCCTATGTCGTGGTTTGAGCCTGGTCGGCAGCGAAACACCACGCAGTCACTCGCCTACCCACCCCCACTTGGGAATGGGGAGGGAATTGGAGGGGCAAAGGGAGAATCGCGGTTGAGATAAAAACTGCTTAATAAGCGGAATTGTAATAAAATAATATGGTGACAGTAGAAACGGGTAATGTGCAATGCAATTAATTGTTCATCACCCGCCGACCGACACCCTGCCCCTTCCCGGCTAGCGATCCCGAAACACAAAGATGCCACAGGAGCCATCCCAGAAAGGAGAGCGTGCACCTTCCCGCCCATTCCTTCCTTTATAGGGTGAGCATAACGTCACATGACATGGAGTATCGGCCAGTCCGGGCCCAGGGCTCCAGCTGTGTTCCCTCCCTGCTTCTTGCGTGCCTGCACACAGGCGGGGCACGCGGAGCTGGAGAGTCCCTGAACTCTCAGTGTGCCACCAGCACTCCTCCAGCTACCAAAACCAAACAGGAACTCTATTCCAGCCCGAACCAGGACAGCCTACCTTCATTCAAGCCAGGCCGTCCCGTGGCCTCCTCAAGGCCTCTCTCAAGGCCTTTCCATTTCCCCTCAGGCCCCCCGCCACGACCCTTTCTGGGGCAACTGAGGTTGCGCCGTTTGCTTTTTGGTGCCCCCACAGCCCTCCATTTCCCTTTGCAGGCCCCCTAGGGCCCTCCGTGTGCCCCCTGGTGCGGCTCAGGACTCCTCGTGTGCCTTTCAGTGCCCAGCCCCAGCCCTTTGCGTGCCTCGGGGCACCTGCCTCAGCCCGCCGCGTGCCCTCGCGTGCCACCCAGAGCCCTCCCTTGCCTTTCCTGGAGCTCCGGGGAACTCCTGTTCTCCTCGTTACCCCTCCGGACTGGCTGGAGCCGAGTACGAGGGGGAGAAAGTTTTCCGATGCTGGGGTGTTGCAAGCCGCTCAGAGACCAGAGCAGGGTTCCGCTCGTATTCTCGGCAACAGGATTAAGGCTCAAAAGGGTAAATAGTTTCTTGTGATATCTACCGCCACGCAAATGATGCCCAACAGTATGGTTAGAAGATGGGTCCGTAGAGCAAAAGTGAGAGGTGCCTGTGAAGCAATGATGGTGGCGAGGAGAAGCAGAGCGGTGATGATGTGGAGAAGAAAGCCCCTACTCTCAGCCCTCGTCCCTATTTCATTCCCGTAACCCCACCTACCACTAGCAGTGGTGCGCATGCCCAACTCTGTCACTGGGAGGTGGTTTCTGATCCCCGGTCTGGGCGCCTGCGCGGGGGTGAGGTAGCTCCGTTGCTATGGCAGTGGTGGTATTGGTGATTTTGCTCCAGCAATGTCGAGGCAAACAAAGCGATACAGTCTCTGACAGCACCCCGTGACTCGACAGTGCTGTCTCACGGAGGATTTTCTGTGATGGTAGAAGGAGAAAGTGAGAAGGAAAGAGGTAGTGCGCAAGGAATTAACTGTATAAACACCGTCACCAATATCATCTAGTTAACAACTGGCAACAAGTATAACATGTTTAACAAACTTTATAAAACCAGAGTGTGCTATAAACCGACTTTTTTTTTTTTTTTTTTAAGGTTCGGTGGCATCAGAAGAAAAGGGGAGAGATTGTTTACGTGGATTATTACAGGGTGGGCATTTATAAGGGCAAAACACCACTGTCAAAAGGACTTTTAGAGCAAATATTTGGAAGGTTAAGGTCATATAAAAAATTCAGGTTATTGCAGGCATGCATTCCACACTTTTGCCTCGATGCCATGTAGTTTAGGCCCTCATGGTCTGCACATCCATTGCTTTGCTCCGCCGGGGTCTGGAATGGCACGTGCAGCAAGAAAATCGATTTCCACACCCCCTTTTGCCTAAGGTGCATGTGCAGTCTGGGTATAGAATCTTCTACCCCAAAGTTAGGCAAAGTAATCAATTTCTGTCTGTGTCCACCAATTTCTCCACCCCGTGGCTCAAGATTGCCAACACTCGAGGGTGGTATAGAACAAGGGAAGAAAAAGAGAAAGAGAAAGAGGAGGAGGAGGAGGGGAAAGGAAAAAAAGAAGTAAAAAGCAAAAGCTACAACTCATACGATTTGGATGGTTTCATGCTTGTCTTGTTTCACAAATCTAACCTGATTTGTTCCGTCAGACGAAGTCACAGCAATTGCTTGCATGTTGCTCACAACGCTCTGGATTAACCGTACCAGGCATGGTATAATGCAGGGTAAAAGCACTGCAGCTGCTAGCCTGCACAACAGCTGAAATAAAAGTTGTTTCACCCCTGGAGTCCGCGGTAAGCAAGACCATAATTCACCATTCCAACCGTTCCATATTTGAGTGGGGACGTGGGCTATTTTCCGAATGTCCATGGTTAACTGAAGAACCACTTCACCTACATCACTGCTTTCCAGACAACAGTTACAAACATTTCATTTTCCACATACCCCTCCCTTTTTGGCCAAGAAACAATCCAAAACCATGCGGTGTTGCAGGATTGCGGTGTGCATCTGTTGAGATTGTTGATTCAAAAGATCTATAGCACTGGTGCTTTTGCTGGTAATAATCTCCGGAACCGCTCGCAACCGAATTATGCGATTCAGATTATAAATTGGTTCCCTTGCCCCTGCTATCCGGTCATTGGGATTCCAAGTGGCCAGCCCGCAATGTTCTATTATTCTCTCGGGAGGCCACTCGTTTTCCCCCCACTTTTGCGTCCCGCAAAAATATCAGCCTCAAGAGATCGCTTATTGCGAGCAACACCTTTGTCACCTAAGGTATCGTATAGCCTTATGCCCAGTTGGGAACCACCTGGTTTTGGAAGAATTAAAAATAGAGGCCAGATGATCCCAACGTGACAAATTCCTGACCAGTTTGCTGGCAGTTGTTTCTAGGCAGTATGTCCACAAATCCAATACTGTCCCTTTTTGGCTTTGGCACTGCTAGCAAACGGTCCAACTGGGGTCTTTGGGTTCTGGGAATAAGTCGCATTATCATTTCCCAAAGGGCTAAAAAAGGTATTGCTTCTACTTCTTTGATAGCCTTTCATCTGGATGGTACAATACCAGGCACCTGTGGTGTTTTCTCACTCACAGTTTTGGATAAAACTCCGGCCATCGGGCCCTGGAGCAACAAGGCTTTCGTTTTCATTTGACCAAAATCCTCCAAATCCTTTATTGCGCCCAGCTTCATTAACCCACATCCATACACGAATGCCACTATCCTTGTTAATCAATTTATGCGTAAGTGCCCACTGACACTTGCTTTTCCCCACATTAACCCTCCTCCTCGGGCGCGGTTTAGGCAACGTCTACGCACCGCAGGAAATTGGATTGGTCATGTCTCATCATTGTCTCAGGCGGTGCTATCGGTTTCACTATAATTGCTTACAATTTGTGCTGCAGTGAGGGGTGTGGAGGTCCACGGCCAACTTGACAGCCCTAAAGGTCCCCTGCAAAGTGACTCAAATTAAAAGTTTTACTCACCGTTTCTGCTAACAAAATAAATTCATTATCTTCAAGGGGATTGTGTGGGTCGGAGGGGGGAGGGGTTGGCCCTTCCTCACCCTTACAGAGAAGTTCGTAAAACAACACAACCGCAGATAACACAGACTTTGGCCATGCGCCTGTCTGGGTTTGCTCCCTTGTTTTCTTCTTCCTAAAATAATGAAAAAACAAAATTAGCTTCTCGGGTTAAAAGGAGGGAACAATCCACCTAGAGTTGATTTTGTGAGTTTTTTCACAGGCATCCTTTGCCTTCCAGGCATACCTGTTAAGGGGTTCAGTGAGTATGAGAGGGACGGCTCCTCTAGTTGGCAGTTCTACCAGCACTGGCTGCCCAGGAGAGAAAACCGTTCCTTCAGGAGCACCGAGAGTCTGGGGCTTTGGGGTTAAAGTCGGGGCTTTAGGGCAAAAGGCATTTAGGCGGGGTCATCCGTTTACCCCGCAGCGATCATTGACCTGGTTAACCACATCCCAAAGGCATTCCCCTCAGCGTGGCTCGTGAGGTTTCAGCAATTGCTTTAAGAGCCTGTTAGTCCGTTCCACTATCCCATTACTCCGCTTCTCTAAGAGCTAAGCTCACAACCAAGAATCCCTTTTCCCACCCGCAATATTGCTTCTCAGCATCCTTAAAGCTCCTGGGGTAAAATCCAATTGCTTGGATAGGACCTTCTGGTCCCTTTTGCCAACAATGAATTGATAATCCCGAGCGTGCAAACCCCCATTCAACCTGGACAGGGTCAGTGGGGTGGGTAGGACCCAAAGCCTGGTGAGCACTTGCTTCAAACACTAAAAGCAGTAATGCTTCATCACGTACAAGAGTCCATTCCCAAGCTGCTCCTTTTCGCAGCAGATTGTGTAAGAGCCGTGCAGTTATCGCAAAGTCTCAGATGTGTTTTCTCCAAAAGAGCAATAAACCCAAGGCGTGCCGCAGCTCCCTTTTCTTTTCTGGAATCTTTACCTGATCTAGTACTGACAGGGTGTCCGGTGAGATACAAACTGACCCTCCTTCCCACCCTATCCCTAAAAATTTCACCTCATCCGCAGCAGCTTCTGTTTTCTCCTTGGCTATCTGGAGTCCCAGAGACTCTAAGTGTTGTACCGTCTTTTTCTGTGTTACCTGGACTGGAATAGCTTCGTCCCCTCCTATCAAAGCTTCATCAATACACTGATAGACTCTAACTCCTGATTCCAGAGGAATTTGGTCTAATTCTGAGGCCAAAGCACGATGTGCTAACGTGGGAGCATGTTTACAGCCCTGAGGGAGGTGAGTGAAGGTACATTGTTGTCCCTCCCATGTGAAGGCAAAACGATCACGGTCCCCTTCCTGCAGGGGAACCATGAAAAACATATCTTTGACATCAATCGTGGCCATCACCTGGTGAGCTTGTTCCTGAATTTGTGAGATTAGTTCAGCTATATTAGGCACTGCTGCCATCAAGGGGCCAGTATTAGCACTGAGTCGACGATGATCTACCATCAGTCTCCACTTCCCGTTCGGTATACGCACTGGCCACACTGGGGAATTATACGGGGAGTGAGTAAACATTAAGATTCCCCATTGTTTAAGATCCTCAGTCACGGGGGCTATCCCTTCTCGGGCCCCTAACGGCAACGGGGAGGGTTTCACATTAGTTATCTTGGAAGGGGGCAAGGCAGGCGCCACTTGCAACAGGCACACTTCGGTCCAGGACATTTCAGCTAATCTTCTGATTTGAGGAGTGCCAAAGGACCACGAGTCTCCCGGAGTATCATACCACTGTCTGCCCTTCAATACCTCTACGCCCAAGACATTTGTTGGGAACGGGCCTACTGCAGCCTTGGTGTTAACTGAGTCTTCCTCCCCGGGCAACCACGATGTTTCCAAGACCACAGATACCGATCGGGTTTCCCCCAAAACATCTAGAGCGGTTAGGTTTTTAGATGAAGTGGGAATTCCACATTGCTCTGCCTCAGTCCACATCAGTGTGGTGATTTGTGCCCCTGTATCAATGAAAAAAGTTACTGGTTTCTTCCGTGGCCCTATTGTTAGCGGTTGCAATCGCCAATAGAACTGATCTACACAAAGTAGATAAACAGGCACTCCTTTATTCCAGTGCTGGGGAACAGGGGGGATAGCTCTACCACAGATGTGTTCACCAACAGGTACAAAGTACAACATAGTTACACACTTTTTCAGCAGAGTCATGGTTCACGTGAGATCAACAAAATTCATAAAGTTTAATTTGACCTACTAATGATTGGCTTTCGCTTACCTCACCTTACCCGTATTCCTATTCTACAGAAATCATCGGTCATCTTTACTGATTGATTTGAATAGACTGGGGGGAGAGTAGTGATTAGCATACTCTTGTTATTTCCTGGAAATCATTATCATATGCAAATGCCTCTAATCCATGCGTGGTTATGTTGGACGGGCGTCCTCTGGTGGTCGCCGATAGTCTTCCTCACTGTGTCCGCCGGCTGACCTCCATCCGTGCGCGTGCTCATTTCATCCTTTGGCTGATCTCCCAAGCCAAGGCCAGTTTTTCCTGGCACCCCTTGTTTTAATTCAAAGTCCATAGCTATTTCCACAGTAATCGAGGCAAGCACGATACTAGTTGCTCATGCCTCAGAACTTAACGTACCTTCTGTTCTCATAGCTACTATAACTCTGTATCACCCACATAACCAAAATTCAAGATCAGATTCTAAAATTCAAGCTATTTCATTTGGGTATTTGTAAATTGTCACACTCGGGTTAGAGGAGTTGTCCGTTCTGGATCCACAGGCATCACCATCGGAGAGCCCTGGTTAGGTTTAAGTTCTCTATCATACATCATCTGCAAACAAGCCGCCTTTTGCACACTTTCTACCAGTTGATCCACCGTACCTGTTGTAGCTAGGGGCTCTCCCCTCTCCACAGGGTTCAGCCCTACGGCCCAATACGCTGTTTCTGATTCCTCTGGAGACCTTGCAAAATCCTTCTTTAATTCAGTCTCTGTAAACGGAACCTCTTTAGTAACAATTTGGGGATGGTCATCATCTGCGTCATGCAAATACTCCGTCTTAACTACGGGGTGCATATGAGGAAGATTTCCTACCGTGCCCTCTGCTTTCTGCAAGCCCCCTGGGGACTTCTAACTTTGCCTCCACCTCTCTACCCCTCCAAACGAGTCGCTTTCTTTCCACAATTCGTCTCTCAATGCGTTCTTTAGTACAGAATTTTGGGTTCTTTCCTCCTCTAACACCTGCTTGGTCTCTTTAACTGCTCTCGTAGCGATGCAAGTGTTCTTTCCAGAGAGTCTACCACAGTATTATCTTGACACAGTTTCTGCCTCCTATCCTCTATGGCCGCTGTCAAACTTGCTCCCAAAACAGCACAAATTATGGCTTCTCCCTTCCCACGCCTAACTGTAGACTCCTGCACTACCCTGATCCTATCCACTATACTCTGTGGCCGGAACCAATGATTTTTCACCCATTCTCGCCCTTGGGGAGACGGGCGAGCACGATAGGTTCCCAAAAAGCCATTGGTTTATCTACATCCACATTCCATTCGTTCAGTGAAGAATGGTCAGGAACATCAACAAGTGTGCAAGCACCCATTTCACCAAAGGGGGGTTATTTCGTCCTGAGAGGGTCACACCTTAAATTCACAATTCCCCCTCTATCACTCTCAGGAGGACACACCTTAAAAAGTTACTTTCCTACCAAAGTACGCCTCAGCCACACACTCACAGAAACCCCGGATAAAGTAACTGGGCATTTCCCGTTTCTCTGAGAATCCTGTCCGTGATGCCAATTACAGTGTCGCAAACCGGTCAGAGACCGGAGCGAGGTTCCGCTTGTATTCCCAGGAACAGAATTAAGAATCAAAACGGAGTCAAGTGCTGCAGAACTTTATTTGCCTGTCACAAGTGCAAAAGGAGAAGAAAGAGAGAAAGAGAGTAAGAGAGAAATGGAGAATGGGAGAATGGGAGAATGGGAGAAAGGGAGAAAGGGAGAAAGGGAGAAAGAGGAAGGGGAAAGGGTTCCTTTCAATAGCTACCACCACGCAACTGACGGCCGGCAGTCTGGTTAGAAAATGGGTCTGTAGAGCAAAGGTGAGAGGCACCCGTGAAGCAATGATGGTGGCGAGGAGAAGCGATGGCGGTGGCAAGGAGAAGCAGAGCAGTAATGGTGCGGGGAAGAAAGTCCCTGCTCTCAGCCCTCCTCTCTGTTTTATTCCCGTAACCCCACCTACCACTAGCAGTGGTGCGCATGCCCAACTCCGTTGCTGGGAGGTGGTTTCCAAACCAGGAGATTTAGGTGATTTCCGACCCCCGGTCTGGGCGGGTGCGGGGGCTGAGGTAGCTCCGTTGCTATGGCACTGGTGGTATTGGTGATTTTGCTCCAGTAACGTCAAGGAAAACAAACCAGCACAGTCTCTGACATGGGGCAGGAGAAAGAAATAGATTTGACAACCAGGTCCACCACTGTATTCCTTTTGCGTCCTGCCTTATGTTTCATATTAAAGTTTTTCCAGGGAGCTTCTTCTGAAAAGACAAAGGGGATAACGCCGCGCCAAACGTGAGCATCGTTGGTGTGGCGGTTGCTGGCGTCTCTTGCCGGCTGGCGAGGACGCCTGCTTTGCTGCTCAGAATGGCAGAGCCGTTGAGGTGGGAAGGGGCCGGGGGAGGTGACCTCTCAAGGCCGGGTCAGCAAGAGCGGCCGGCCCACAGGCCTGGCCAGAGGGGCCTCCAGGCGGGACCCCCACCCGGGCGGGTGCACACCAGTCCGGCGGTTACACGGCAACTGTCATACAACATCACGTCGAGTGGCAAAGCGGTGATGTCACAATGCAGCAATGTGACAACACCATGATGCGCATCAGCCAGACTGCCAGCGAGCCGCTATATATAGAGCCGCTGGCTGGGAGACCGGCTGAAGCGGCAGCAGCTGGGTGCCTCTGCAACAAGAGGAGACAGCGCAGGGTCGCAGCGCCAGGAGAGCTCTTGGAAGGAGCCATGGAACATCGTCGCGCTGCTGGCGTCCGAAAGGCAGAGGCACGGCTGAACACCCGGGGAGAGAGGGGAGAGGTGAGCAGCGGGCCCATGGAGAGGGCTCAGCCAGGCAGCCCGGGGCATGGCGGGGCTGCTCTGGGGCCTCGGATGTGCCTTGTCTTCCACAGCTGTGCGGGAGGCTTGTTGTTCATCTAGCAGCTGAGTGTCTCTGTTTCCTTAGCTCGGGCACAGAAGACAGCACCTGGAAAGAGGAGGACGTCCCAGGCTGCTGGACCCTGAGCTGCTGGACCTCCCACTCGGGGTCAAGATCCCTGTGCCACGCGGCTCCAGGCCTCTCTTCAGCAGGGGAAAGCTGGGGGAAAAGGTAAAGGAAGTAGAAAGGGGTAGAAAAGAGCTCTTTCTGCCACCAGACAGAGCATCTAGGCGCAGGGTTACTTCTCTGTTGCAGAGTCTCTGTAGTAGGGAGACCTTTCCTCTGGGTGGGAAGGACTCCAGGGATTAGGCTATAGCTCGGAGGACTGGAAGTGCCACCCCGTGTGCCTGAGGAGCTCGCAAGAGCATCCCTCCCTCCCAAGAACACTCTCTTGCCCCATTCTGACTCGGCAACATCTCTCTTCCAGCTTCACCGGCCCTCCTGTACTTTTAACCTGGGAGATCCATACTGTCGCCTCTTGAGCACGGAGTACAACTGCCTGCACGACCCACATCTGGAGGCGTACCACAGGCGCAGTCATAACTTTAGGAGCCTGAAGAGGGCCGGTTATGTCACCAGCGATGGCAAAGTAGGTTTTGACATCGTCAGGTTGATCAAACCGGTTCCCCCCAAGTGGTCTTCCCCGAGCAAAGAGGGAGTGGGTTCAGAGGGGGCACCTTCTCGCCCACCAGGTTCGGGCTGCTTCGGGGAGGCGCTCTGCGTAGCTGGCTTGAGAGTGCATGGCTGATTTCTCCTCTCGTTGCTCCCTAGGTGATTTGCAATCTCAAAGAGTTCAATGAGTACAGGCAATATCTGAGCACTCTCAAGCTGGAGGCAAAGAAAATGTCCAGGCAAGCAGAGGTAGGCAAAGCAGAGTGTTAGTGGACAAACACGAGCGGCATGCTGCCCAGGGCTGGGGCTGTGCTGGCTGCATCTCGGGGAGGCGGTCAGTGCAGCAGAGGTGAGGGCCGTGCTGCTGGTGGGCCGGGCGTTGGGGTGGCGGGGAAAAGGCACTGCCCGGCTCGGAGCTGAGCTCACGCAGGGTGCTGGGGTGGGCATGGGCAGGAAGGTCGTGGGTGGCAAGCGTGCGGCGTCCTGAGGGAAGAAGCCCTTCTCTTCGGCCCTCGTCGCGTGGCTGAAGCGGAGCGCTGGCCTGGGCCCGCGTGAAGCCTCAGCACGCCGGGCCCTGAGCGCTCGTCCGGCTGCAGCGAGCCACAGTGACCCGGTGTCGTCCCCTTTCAGGGAAGGCTTCAGCAGCACCTGCCCGAATTAAAGGATGCCCCCAAGGTGCCGGGAGCTGTGGACACTTCTCGCCTGGCAGAGCGGCTGCTGCAGCCTCGAAAAACATCTTGCCCACCTCAACCCAGGAGCAGAAAAGTCTCCCTGAGATCACGGCGCCAAACGTGCTCCCAACCTGAGCAGGGAGAGGAAGGTGCCAAGCCGCCCCGGAGGCTCAGTAGTGACGCTGACTCCGAGAGGATTCCGCCAGGCATCCTTGCAAATGGTGTGTTCGAAGCTGCATTTGAACAGCAAACTGCAGGAGGAGCCCAGAAGCTTGAAGAGCTGTCTGAGACTGCAGTGCAGCAAGTGTTGGAGACGGTGAATCTCCCTAAGAGAGAGCCACAGCCATCCCAGACGCCTTTCTCAAGGCTGCACCTGGAAGAAGGAGAAGGATTCCCCGGAGCATCTGAACAGCAGAGCCTGGAAGCCAGCAAGGGAGCAAAGTTGCCTGTGTTACCACCGCTGCCAAATGCAGCCGCTGCTGAAGTCTCGCAACTCTGCCACACGATTGTCAGGGAAAGCATCCAACGTGCCATCTCGAGAGTTCAGCAGCGCCATGCAGAGCGGACTGGCTATGGTAGAACCGTTGTCCCTGAGGTGCTTGGAACGGGGAAAAAGAAATTAGAAATGAAGCCAATGCCAACAGCCTTAGCCACATCTTTGGCTCCAAGGACCATACCTGATGACAGCGTTGACACTGTATTAGTGTGGACGTGTGCACCTGGCCTGCACTGACACTGAAATTGAATTTTGGAAGGCCTGTCGCAACCCCCTGGCTCCAACGAGATGGAAAGGAGAGCTATCCCGCTGAGGACGCCCTTCCCTCCTTGGGCCCACCCTTTCCCAGGCAGCCCGTCCCTCTGGCGGCTCTGAAGCCCCCTGTCCAGACAGGAGCACGGCACAGATTGGTGAACATTGAGCTCGTCCAAGGCAAGCCCCAGCAGCCCATGTACAAACAAGGGCGTTAGTTGGGAGACTTGCGGACAATGGCCTCAGCAGGTGTGTGGCCAAGAGAGCTGGAGAGCCCCTGGGCAACTCCAGCAGGCAGCAAAGACGGACCTTACAGCCTTGTGCTTCCAATAAAGAGTTGACTCCCGAGTGCTCGCCTTGTGCCTATGTCGTGGTTTGAGCCTGGTCGGCAGCGAAACACCACGCAGTCACTCGCCTACCCACCCCCACTTGGGAATGGGAGGGAATTGGAGGGGCAAAGGGAGAATCGCGGTTGAGATAAAAACTGCTTAATAAGCGGAATTGTAATAAAATAATATGACAGTAGAAACGGGTAATGTGCAATGCAATTAATTGTTCATCACCCGCCGACCGACACCCTGCCCCTTCCCGGCTAGCGATCCCGAAACACAAAGATGCCACAGGAGCCATCCCAGAAAGGAGAGCGTGCACCTTCCCGCCCATTCCTTCCTTTATAGGGTGAGCATAACGTCACATGACATGGAGTATCGGCCAGTCCGGGCCCAGGGCTCCAGCTGTGTTCCCTCCCTGCTTCTTGCGTGCCTGCACACAGGCGGGGCACGCGGAGCTGGAGAGTCCCTGAACTCTCAGTGTGCCACCAGCACTCCTCCAGCTACCAAAACCAAACAGGAACTCTATTCCAGCCCGAACCAGGACAGCCTACCTTCATTCAAGCCAGGCCGTCCCGTGGCCTCCTCAAGGCCTCTCTCAAGGCCTTTCCATTTCCCCTCAGGCCCCCCGCCACGACCCTTTCTGGGGCAACTGAGGTTGCGCCGTTTGCTTTTTGGTGCCCCACAGCCCTCCATTTCCCTTTGCAGGCCCCCTAGGGCCCTCCGTGTGCCCCCTGGTGCGGCTCAGGACTCCTCGTGTGCCTTTCAGTGCCCAGCCCCAGCCCTTTGCGTGCCTCGGGGCACCTGCCTCAGCCCGCCGCGTGCCCTCGCGTGCCACCCAGAGCCCTCCCTTGCCTTTCCTGGAGCTCCGGGGAACTCCTGTTCTCCTCGTTACCCCTCCGGACTGGCTGGAGCCGAGTACGAGGGGGAGAAAGTTTTCCGATGCTGGGGTGTTGCAAGCCGCTCAGAGACCAGAGCAGGGTTCCGCTCGTATTCTCGGCAACAGGATTAAGGCTCAAAAGGGTAAATAGTTTCTTGTGATATCTACCGCCACGCAAATGATGCCCAACAGTATGGTTAGAAGATGGGTCCGTAGAGCAAAAGTGAGAGGTGCCTGTGAAGCAATGATGGTGGCGAGGAGAAGCAGAGCGGTGATGATGTGGAGAAGAAAGCCCCTACTCTCAGCCCTCGTCCCTATTTCATTCCCGTAACCCCACCTACCACTAGCAGTGGTGCGCATGCCCAACTCTGTCACTGGGAGGTGGTTTCTGATCCCCGGTCTGGGCGCCTGCGCGGGGTGAGGTAGCTCCGTTGCTATGGCAGTGGTGGTATTGGTGATTTTGCTGTGAAGTGAAAGAAAGACGTATGCGCAAGGAATTAACTGTATAAACACCGTCACCAATATCATCTAGTTAACAACTGGCAACAAGTATAACATGTTTAACAAACTTTATAAAACCAGAGTGTGCTATAAACCGACTTTTTTTTTTTTTTTTTTTAAGGTTCGGTGGCATCAGAAGAAAAGGGGAGAGATTGTTTACGTGGATTATTACAGGGTGGGCATTTATAAGGGCAAAACCCACTGTCAAAAGGACTTTTAGAGCAAATATTTGGAAGGTTAAGGTCATATAAAAAATTCAGGTTATTGCAGGCATGCATTCCACACTTTTGCCTCGATGCCATGTAGTTTAGGCCCTCATGGTCTGCACATCCATTGCTTTGCTCCGCCGGGGTCTGGAATGGCACGTGCAGCAAGAAAATCGATTTCCACACCCCCCTTTTGCCTAAGGTGCATGTGCAGTCTGGGTATAGAATCTTCTACCCCAAAGTTAGGCAAAGGTAATCAATTTCTGTCTGTGTCCACCAATTTCTCCACCCCGTGGCTCAAGATTGCCAACACTCGAGGGTGGTATAGAACAAGGGAAGAAAAGAGAAAGAGAAAGAGGAGGGAGGGGAAAGGAAAAAAAGAAGTAAAAAGCAAAAGCTACAACTCATACGATTTGGATGGTTTCATGCTTGTCTTGTTTCACAAATCTAACCTGATTTGTTCCGTCAGACGAAGTCACAGCAATTGCTTGCATGTTGCTCACAACGCTCTGGATTAACCGTACCAGGCATGGTATAATGCAGGGTAAAAGCACTGCAGCTGCTAGCCTGCACAACAGCTGAAATAAAAGTTGTTTCACCCCTGGAGTCCGCGGTAAGCAAGACCATAATTCACCATTCCAACCGTTCCATATTTGAGTGGGGACGTGGGCTATTTTCCGAATGTCCATGGTTAACTGAAGAACCACTTCACCTACATCACTGCTTTCCAGACAACAGTTACAAACATTTCATTTTCCACATACCCCTCCCTTTTTGGCCAAGAAACAATCCAAAACCATGCGGTGTTGCAGGATTGCGGTGTGCATCTGTTGAGATTGTTGATTCAAAAGATCTATAGCACTGGTGCTTTTGCTGGTAATAATCTCCGGAACCGCTCGCAACCGAATTATGCGATTCAGATTATAAATTGGTTCCCTTGCCCCTGCTATCCGGTCATTGGGATTCCAAGTGGCCAGCCCGCAATGTTCTATTATTCTCTCGGGAGGCCACTCGTTTTCCCCCCACTTTTGCGTCCCGCAAAAATATCAGCCTCAAGAGATCGCTTATTGCGAGCAACACCTTTGTCACCTAAGGTATCGTATAGCCTTATGCCCAGTTGGGAACCACCTGGTTTTGGAAGAATTAAAAATAGAGGCCAGATGATCCCAACGTGACAAATTCCTGACCAGTTTGCTGGCAGTTGTTTCTAGGCAGTATGTCCACAAATCCAATACTGTCCCTTTTTGGCTTTGGCACTGCTAGCAAACGGTCCAACTGGGGCTTTGGGTTCTGGGAATAAGTCGCATTATCATTTCCCAAAGGGCTAAAAAAGGTATTGCTTCTACTTCTTTGATAGCCTTTCATCTGGATGGTACAATACCAGGCACCTGTGGTGTTTTCTCACTCACAGTTTTGGATAAAACTCCGGCCATCGGGCCCTGGAGCAACAAGGCTTTCATTTTCATTTGACCAAAATCCTCCAAATCCTTTATTGCGCCCAGCTTCATTAACCCACATCCATACACGAATGCCACTATCCTTGTTAATCAATTTATGCGTAAGTGCCCACTGACACTTGCTTTTCCCCACATTAACCCTCCCTCCTCGCGGTTTAGGCAACGTCTACGCACCGCAGGAAATTGGATTGGTCATGTCTCATCATTGTCTCAGGCGGTGCTATCGGTTTCACTATAATTGCTTACAATTTGTGCTGCAGTGAGGGGTGTGGAGGTCCACGGCCAACTTGACAGCCCTAAAGGTCCCCTGCAAAGTGACTCAAATTAAAAGTTTTACTCACCGTTTCTGCTAACAAAATAAATTCATTATCTTCAAGGGGATTGTGTGGGTCGGAGGGAGGGGGAGGGGTTGGCCCTTCCTCACCCTTACAGAGAAGTTCGTAAAACAACACAACCGCAGATAACACAGACTTTGGCCATGCGCCTGTCTGGGTTTGCTCCCTTGTTTTCTTCTTCCTAAAATAATGAAAAAACAAAATTAGCTTCTCGGGTTAAAAGGAGGGAACAATCCACCTAGAGTTGATTTTGTGAGTTTTTTCACAGGCATCCTTTGCCTTCCAGGCATACCTGTTAAGGGGTTCAGTGAGTATGAGAGGGACGGCTCCTCTAGTGGCAGTTCTACCAGCACTGGCTGCCCAGGAGAGAAAACCGTTCCTTCAGGAGCACCGAGAGTCTGGGGCTTTGGGGTTAAAGTCGGGGCTTTAGGGCAAAAGGCATTTAGGCGGGGTCATCCGTTTACCCCGCAGCGATCATTGACCTGGTTAACCACATCCCAAAGGCATTCCCCTCAGCGTGGCTCGTGAGGTTTCAGCAATTGCTTTAAGAGCCTGTTAGTCCGTTCCACTATCCCATTACTCCGCTTCTCTAAGAGCTAAGCTCACAACCAAGAATCCCTTTTCCCACCCGCAATATTGCTTCTCAGCATCCTTAAAGCTCCTGGGGTAAAATCCAATTGCTTGGATAGGACCTTCTGGTCCCTTTTGCCAACAATGAATTGATAATCCCGAGCGTGCAAACCCCCATTCAACCTGGACAGGGTCAGTGGGGTGGGTAGGACCCAAAGCCTGGTGAGCACTTGCTTCAAACACTAAAAGCAGTAATGCTTCATCACGTACAAGAGTCCATTCCCAAGCTGCTCCTTTTCGCAGCAGATTGTGTAAGAGCCGTGCAGTTATCGCAAAGTCTCAGATGTGTTTTCTCCAAAAGAGCAATAAACCCAAGGCGTGCCGCAGCTCCCTTTTCTTTTCTGGAATCTTTACCTGATCTAGTACTGACAGGGTGTCCGGTGAGATACAAACTGACCCTCCTTCCCACCCTATCTAAAAATTTCACCTCATCCGCAGCAGCTTCTGTTTTCTCCTTGGCTATCTGGAGTCCCAGAGACTCTAAGTGTTGTACCGTCTTTTTCTGTGTTACCTGGACTGGAATAGCTTCGTCCCCTCCTATCAAAGCTTCATCAATACACTGATAGACTCTAACTCCTGATTCCAGAGGAATTTGGTCTAATTCTGAGGCCAAAGCACGATGTGCTAACGTGGGAGCATGTTTACAGCCCTGAGGGAGGTGAGTGAAGGTACATTGTTGTCCCTCCCATGTGAAGGCAAAACGATCACGGTCCCCTTCCTGCAGGGGAACCATGAAAAACATATCTTTGACATCAATCGTGGCCATCACCTGGTGAGCTTGTTCCTGAATTTGTGAGATTAGTTCAGCTATATTAGGCACTGCTGCCATCAAGGGGCCAGTATTAGCACTGAGTCGACGATGATCTACCATCAGTCTCCACTTCCCGTTCGGTATACGCACTGGCCACACTGGGGAATTATACGGGGAGTGAGTAAACATTAAGATTCCCCATTGTTTAAGATCCTCAGTCACGGGGGCTATCCCTTCTCGGGCCCCTAACGGCAACGGGGAGGGTTTCACATTAGTTATCTTGGAAGGGGGCAAGGCAGGCGCCACTTGCAACAGGCACACTTCGGTCCAGGACATTTCAGCTAATCTTCTGATTTGAGGAGTGCCAAAGGACCACGAGTCTCCCGGAGTATCATACCACTGTCTGCCCTTCAATACCTCTACGCCCAAGACATTTGTTGGGAACGGGCCTACTGCAGCCTTGGTGTTAACTGAGTCTTCCTCCCCGGGCAACCACGATGTTTCCAAGACCACAGATACCGATCGGGTTTCCCCCAAAACATCTAGAGCGGTTAGGTTTTTAGATGAAGTGGGAATTCCACATTGCTCTGCCTCAGTCCACATCAGTGTGGTGATTTGTGCCCCTGTATCAATGAAAAAAGTTACTGGTTTCTTCCGTGGCCCTATTGTTAGCGGTTGCAATCGCCAATAGAACTGATCTACACAAAGTAGATAAACAGGCACTCCTTTATTCCAGTGCTGGGGAACAGGGGGGATAGCTCTACCACAGATGTGTTCACCAACAGGTACAAAGTACAACATAGTTACACACTTTTTCAGCAGAGTCATGGTTCACGTGAGATCAACAAAATTCATAAAGTTTAATTTGACCCTACTAATGATTGGCTTTCGCTTACCTCACCTTACCCGTATTCCTATTCTACAGAAATCATCGGTCATCTTTACTGATTGATTTGAATAGACTGGGGGAGAGTAGTGATTAGCATACTCTTGTTATTTCCTGGAAATCATTATCATATGCAAATGCCTCTAATCCATGCGTGGTTATGTTGGACGGGCGTCCTCTGGTGGTCGCCGATAGTCTTCCTCACTGTGTCCGCCGGCTGACCTCCATCCGTGCGCGTGCTCATTTCATCCTTTGGCTGATCTCCCAAGCCAAGGCCAGTTTTTCCTGGCACCCCTTGTTTTAATTCAAAGTCCATAGCTATTTCCACAGTAATCGAGGCAAGCACGATACTAGTTGCTCATGCCTCAGAACTTAACGTACCTTCTGTTCTCATAGCTACTATAACTCTGTATCACCCACATAACCAAAATTCAAGATCAGATTCTAAAATTCAAGCTATTTCATTTGGGTATTTGTAAATTGTCACACTCGGGTTAGAGGAGTTGTCCGTTCTGGATCCACAGGCATCACCATCGGAGAGCCCTGGTTAGGTTTAAGTTCTCTATCATACATCATCTGCAAACAAGCCGCCTTTTGCACACTTTCTACCAGTTGATCCACCGTACCTGTTGTAGCTAGGGGCTCTCCCCTCTCCACAGGGTTCAGCCCTACGGCCCAATACGCTGTTTCTGATTCCTCTGGAGACCTTGCAAAATCCTTCTTTAATTCAGTCTCTGTAAACGGAACCTCTTTAGTAACAATTTGGGGATGGTCATCATCTGCGTCATGCAAATACTCCGTCTTAACTACGGGGTGCATATGAGGAAGATTTCCTACCGTGCCCTCTGCTTTCTGCAAGCCCCCCTGGGGACTTCTAACTTTGCCTCCACCTCTCTACCCCTCCAAACGAGTCGCTTTCTTTCCACAATTCGTCTCTCAATGCGTTCTTTAGTACAGAATTTTGGGTTCTTTCCTCCTCTAACACCTGCTTGGTCTCTTTTAACTGCTCTCGTAGCGATGCAAGTGTTCTTTCCAGAGAGTCTACCACAGTATTATCTTGACACAGTTTCTGCCTCCTATCCTCTATGGCCGCTGTCAAACTTGCTCCCAAAACAGCACAAATTATGGCTTCTCCCTTCCCACGCCTAACTGTAGACTCCTGCACTACCCTGATCCTATCCACTATACTCTGTGGCCGGAACCAATGATTTTTCACCCATTCTCGCCCTTGGGGAGACGGGCGAGCACGATAGGTTCCCAAAAAGCCATTGGTTTATCTACATCCACATTCCATTCGTTCAGTGAAGAATGGTCAGGAACATCAACAAGTGTGCAAGCACCCATTTCACCAAAGGGGGGTTATTTCGTCCTGAGAGGGTCACACCTTAAATTCACAATTCCCCCTCTATCACTCTCAGGAGGACACACCTTAAAAAGTTACTTTCCTACCAAAGTACGCCTCAGCCACACACTCACAGAAACCCCGGATAAAGTAACTGGGCATTTCCCGTTTCTCTGAGAATCCTGTCCGTGATGCCAATTACAGTGTCGCAAACCGGTCAGAGACCGGAGCGAGGTTCCGCTTGTATTCCCAGGAACAGAATTAAGAATCAAAACGGAGTCAAGTGCTGCAGAACTTTATTTGCCTGTCACAAGTGCAAAAGGAGAAGAAAGAGAGAAAGAGAGTAAGAGAGAAATGGAGAATGGGAGAATGGGAGAATGGGAGAAAGGGAGAAAGGGAGAAAGGAGAAAGAGGAAGGGGAAAGGGTTCCTTTCAATAGCTACCACCACGCAACTGACGGCCGGCAGTCTGGTTAGAAAATGGGTCTGTAGAGCAAAGGTGAGAGGCACCCGTGAAGCAATGATGGTGGCGAGGAGAAGCGATGGCGGTGGCAAGGAGAAGCAGAGCAGTAATGGTGCGGGGAAGAAAGTCCCTGCTCTCAGCCCTCCTCTCTGTTTTATTCCCGTAACCCCACCTACCACTAGCAGTGGTGCGCATGCCCAACTCCGTTGCTGGGAGGTGGTTTCCAAACCAGGAGATTTAGGTGATTTCCGACCCCCGGTCTGGGCGGGTGCGCGGGGGTGAGGTAGCTCCGTTGCTATGGCACTGGTGGTATTGGTGATTTTGCTCCAGTAACGTCAAGGAAAACAAACCAGCACAGTCTCTGACATGGGGCAGGAGAAAGAAAGATTTGACAACCAGGTCCACCACTGTATTCCTTTTGCGTCCTGCCTTATGTTTCATATTAAAGTTTTTCCAGGGAGCTTCTTCTGAAAAGACAAAGGGGATAACGCCGCGCCAAACGTGAGCATCGTTGGTGTGGCGGTTGCTGGCGTCTCTTGCCGGCTGGCGAGGACGCCTGCTTTGCTGCTCAGAATGGCAGAGCCGTTGAGGTGGGAAGGGGCCGGGGGAGGTGACCTCTCAAGGCCGGGTCAGCAAGAGCGGCCGGCCCACAGGCCTGGCCAGAGGGGCCTCCAGGCGGGACCCCCACCCGGGCGGGTGCACACCAGTCCGGCGGTTACACGGCAACTGTCATACAACATCACGTCGAGTGGCAAAGCGGTGATGTCACAATGCAGCAATGTGACAACACCATGATGCGCATCAGCCAGACTGCCAGCGAGCCGCTATATATAGAGCCGCTGGCTGGGAGACCGGCTGAAGCGGCAGCAGCTGGGTGCCTCTGCAACAAGAGGAGACAGCGCAGGGTCGCAGCGCCAGGAGAGCTCTTGGAAGGAGCCATGGAACATCGTCGCGCTGCTGGCGTCCGAAAGGCAGAGGCACGGCTGAACACCCGGGGAGAGAGGGGAGGTGAGCAGCGGCCCATGGAGAGGGCTCAGCCAGGCAGCCCGGGGCATGGCGGGGCTGCTCTGGGGCCTCGGATGTGCCTTGTCTTCCACAGCTGTGCGGGAGGCTTGTTGTTCATCTAGCAGCTGAGTGTCTCTGTTTCCTTAGCTCGGGCACAGAAGACAGCACCTGGAAAGAGGAGGACGTCCCAGGCTGCTGGACCCTGAGCTGCTGGACCTCCCACTCGGGGTCAAGATCCCTGTGCCACGCGGCTCCAGGCCTCTCTTCAGCAGGGGAAAGCTGGGGGAAAAGGTAAAGGAAGTAGAAAGGGGTAGAAAAGAGCTCTCTTCTGCCACCAGACAGAGCATCTAGGCGCAGGGTTACTTCTCTGTTGCAGAGTCTCTGTAGTAGGGAGACCTTTCCTCTGGGTGGGAAGGACTCCAGGGATTAGGCTATAGCTCGGAGGACTGGAAGTGCCACCCCGTGTGCCTGAGGAGCTCGCAAGAGCATCCCTCCCTCCCAAGAACACTCTCTTGCCCCATTCTGACTCGGCAACATCTCTCTTCCAGCTTCACCGGCCCTCCTGTACTTTTAACCTGGGAGATCCATACTGTCGCCTCTTGAGCACGGAGTACAACTGCCTGCACGACCCACATCTGGAGGCGTACCACAGGCGCAGTCATAACTTTAGGAGCCTGAAGAGGGCCGGTTATGTCACCAGCGATGGCAAAGTAGGTTTTGACATCGTCAGGTTGATCAAACCGGTTCCCCCCAAGTGGTCTTCCCCGAGCAAAGAGGGAGTGGGTTCAGAGGGGGCACCTTCTCGCCCACCAGGTTCGGGCTGCTTCGGGGAGGCGCTCTGCGTAGCTGGCTTGAGAGTGCATGGCTGATTTCTCCTCTCGTTGCTCCCTAGGTGATTTGCAATCTCAAAGAGTTCAATGAGTACAGGCAATATCTGAGCACTCTCAAGCTGGAGGCAAAGAAAATGTCCAGGCAAGCAGAGGTAGGCAAAGCAGAGTGTTAGTGGACAAACACGAGCGGCATGCTGCCCAGGGCTGGGGCTGTGCTGGCTGCATCTCGGGGAGGCGGTCAGTGCAGCAGAGGTGAGGGCCGTGCTGCTGGTGGGCCGGGCGTTGGGGTGGCGGGGAAAAGGCACTGCCCGGCTCGGAGCTGAGCTCACGCAGGGTGCTGGGGTGGGCATGGGCAGGAAGGTCGTGGGTGGCAAGCGTGCGGCGTCCTGAGGGAAGAAGCCCTTCTCTTCGGCCCTCGTCGCGTGGCTGAAGCGGAGCGCTGGCCTGGGCCCGCGTGAAGCCTCAGCACGCCGGGCCCTGAGCGCTCGTCCGGCTGCAGCGAGCCACAGTGACCCGGTGTCGTCCCCTTTCAGGGAAGGCTTCAGCAGCACCTGCCCGAATTAAAGGATGCCCCCAAGGTGCCGGGAGCTGTGGACACTTCTCGCCTGGCAGAGCGGCTGCTGCAGCCTCGAAAAACATCTTGCCCACCTCAACCCAGGAGCAGAAAAGTCTCCCTGAGATCACGGCGCCAAACGTGCTCCCAACCTGAGCAGGGAGAGGAAGGTGCCAAGCCGCCCCGGAGGCTCAGTAGTGACGCTGACTCCGAGAGGATTCCGCCAGGCATCCTTGCAAATGGTGTGTTCGAAGCTGCATTTGAACAGCAAACTGCAGGAGGAGCCCAGAAGCTTGAAGAGCTGTCTGAGACTGCAGTGCAGCAAGTGTTGGAGACGGTGAATCTCCCTAAGAGAGAGCCACAGCCATCCCAGACGCCTTTCTCAAGGCTGCACCTGGAAGAAGGAGAAGGATTCCCCGGAGCATCTGAACAGCAGAGCCTGGAAGCCAGCAAGGGAGCAAAGTTGCCTGTGTTACCACCGCTGCCAAATGCAGCCGCTGCTGAAGTCTCGCAACTCTGCCACACGATTGTCAGGGAAAGCATCCAACGTGCCATCTCGAGAGTTCAGCAGCGCCATGCAGAGCGGACTGGCTATGGTAGAACCGTTGTCCCTGAGGTGCTTGGAACGGGGAAAAAGAAATTAGAAATGAAGCCAATGCCAACAGCCTTAGCCACATCTTTGGCTCCAAGGACCATACCTGATGACAGCGTTGACACTGTATTAGTGTGGACGTGTGCACCTGGCCTGCACTGACACTGAAATTGAATTTTGGAAGGCCTGTCGCAACCCCCTGGCTCCAACGAGATGGAAAGGAGAGCTATCCCGCTGAGGACGCCCTTCCCTCCTTGGGCCCACCCTTTCCCAGGCAGCCCGTCCCTCTGGCGGCTCTGAAGCCCCCTGTCCAGACAGGAGCACGGCACAGATTGGTGAACATTGAGCTCGTCCAAGGCAAGCCCCAGCAGCCCATGTACAAACAAGGGCGTTAGTTGGGAGACTTGCGGACAATGGCCTCAGCAGGTGTGTGGCCAAGAGAGCTGGAGAGCCCCTGGGCAACTCCAGCAGGCAGCAAAGACGGACCTTACAGCCTTGTGCTTCCAATAAAGAGTTGACTCCCGAGTGCTCGCCTTGTGCCTATGTCGTGGTTTGAGCCTGGTCGGCAGCGAAACACCACGCAGTCACTCGCCTACCCACCCCCACTTGGGAATGGGAGGGAATTGGAGGGGCAAAGGGAGAATCGCGGTTGAGATAAAAACTGCTTAATAAGCGGAATTGTAATAAAATAATATGACAGTAGAAACGGGTAATGTGCAATGCAATTAATTGTTCATCACCCGCCGACCGACACCCTGCCCCTTCCCGGCTAGCGATCCCGAAACACAAAGATGCCACAGGAGCCATCCCAGAAAGGAGAGCGTGCACCTTCCCGCCCATTCCTTCCTTTATAGGGTGAGCATAACGTCACATGACATGGAGTATCGGCCAGTCCGGGCCCAGGGCTCCAGCTGTGTTCCCTCCCTGCTTCTTGCGTGCCTGCACACAGGCGGGGCACGCGGAGCTGGAGAGTCCCTGAACTCTCAGTGTGCCACCAGCACTCCTCCAGCTACCAAAACCAAACAGGAACTCTATTCCAGCCCGAACCAGGACAGCCTACCTTCATTCAAGCCAGGCCGTCCCGTGGCCTCCTCAAGGCCTCTCTCAAGGCCTTTCCATTTCCCCTCAGGCCCCCCGCCACGACCCTTTCTGGGGCAACTGAGGTTGCGCCGTTTGCTTTTTGGTGCCCCACAGCCCTCCATTTCCCTTTGCAGGCCCCCTAGGGCCCTCCGTGTGCCCCCTGGTGCGGCTCAGGACTCCTCGTGTGCCTTTCAGTGCCCAGCCCCAGCCCTTTGCGTGCCTCGGGGCACCTGCCTCAGCCCGCCGCGTGCCCTCGCGTGCCACCCAGAGCCCTCCCTTGCCTTTCCTGGAGCTCCGGGGAACTCCTGTTCTCCTCGTTACCCCTCCGGACTGGCTGGAGCCGAGTACGAGGGGGAGAAAGTTTTCCGATGCTGGGGTGTTGCAAGCCGCTCAGAGACCAGAGCAGGGTTCCGCTCGTATTCTCGGCAACAGGATTAAGGCTCAAAAGGGTAAATAGTTTCTTGTGATATCTACCGCCACGCAAATGATGCCCAACAGTATGGTTAGAAGATGGGTCCGTAGAGCAAAAGTGAGAGGTGCCTGTGAAGCAATGATGGTGGCGAGGAGAAGCAGAGCGGTGATGATGTGGAGAAGAAAGCCCCTACTCTCAGCCCTCGTCCCTATTTCATTCCCGTAACCCCACCTACCACTAGCAGTGGTGCGCATGCCCAACTCTGTCACTGGGAGGTGGTTTCTGATCCCCGGTCTGGGCGCCTGCGCGGGGTGAGGTAGCTCCGTTGCTATGGCAGTGGTGGTATTGGTGATTTTGCTGTGAAGTGAAAGAAAGACGTATGCGCAAGGAATTAACTGTATAAACACCGTCACCAATATCATCTAGTTAACAACTGGCAACAAGTATAACATGTTTAACAAACTTTATAAAACCAGAGTGTGCTATAAACCGACTTTTTTTTTTTTTTTTTTTAAGGTTCGGTGGCATCAGAAGAAAAGGGGAGAGATTGTTTACGTGGATTATTACAGGGTGGGCATTTATAAGGGCAAAACCCACTGTCAAAAGGACTTTTAGAGCAAATATTTGGAAGGTTAAGGTCATATAAAAAATTCAGGTTATTGCAGGCATGCATTCCACACTTTTGCCTCGATGCCATGTAGTTTAGGCCCTCATGGTCTGCACATCCATTGCTTTGCTCCGCCGGGGTCTGGAATGGCACGTGCAGCAAGAAAATCGATTTCCACACCCCCCTTTTGCCTAAGGTGCATGTGCAGTCTGGGTATAGAATCTTCTACCCCAAAGTTAGGCAAAGGTAATCAATTTCTGTCTGTGTCCACCAATTTCTCCACCCCGTGGCTCAAGATTGCCAACACTCGAGGGTGGTATAGAACAAGGGAAGAAAAGAGAAAGAGAAAGAGGAGGGAGGGGAAAGGAAAAAAAGAAGTAAAAAGCAAAAGCTACAACTCATACGATTTGGATGGTTTCATGCTTGTCTTGTTTCACAAATCTAACCTGATTTGTTCCGTCAGACGAAGTCACAGCAATTGCTTGCATGTTGCTCACAACGCTCTGGATTAACCGTACCAGGCATGGTATAATGCAGGGTAAAAGCACTGCAGCTGCTAGCCTGCACAACAGCTGAAATAAAAGTTGTTTCACCCCTGGAGTCCGCGGTAAGCAAGACCATAATTCACCATTCCAACCGTTCCATATTTGAGTGGGGACGTGGGCTATTTTCCGAATGTCCATGGTTAACTGAAGAACCACTTCACCTACATCACTGCTTTCCAGACAACAGTTACAAACATTTCATTTTCCACATACCCCTCCCTTTTTGGCCAAGAAACAATCCAAAACCATGCGGTGTTGCAGGATTGCGGTGTGCATCTGTTGAGATTGTTGATTCAAAAGATCTATAGCACTGGTGCTTTTGCTGGTAATAATCTCCGGAACCGCTCGCAACCGAATTATGCGATTCAGATTATAAATTGGTTCCCTTGCCCCTGCTATCCGGTCATTGGGATTCCAAGTGGCCAGCCCGCAATGTTCTATTATTCTCTCGGGAGGCCACTCGTTTTCCCCCCACTTTTGCGTCCCGCAAAAATATCAGCCTCAAGAGATCGCTTATTGCGAGCAACACCTTTGTCACCTAAGGTATCGTATAGCCTTATGCCCAGTTGGGAACCACCTGGTTTTGGAAGAATTAAAAATAGAGGCCAGATGATCCCAACGTGACAAATTCCTGACCAGTTTGCTGGCAGTTGTTTCTAGGCAGTATGTCCACAAATCCAATACTGTCCCTTTTTGGCTTTGGCACTGCTAGCAAACGGTCCAACTGGGGTCTTTGGGTTCTGGGAATAAGTCGCATTATCATTTCCCAAAGGGCTAAAAAAGGTATTGCTTCTACTTCTTTGATAGCCTTTCATCTGGATGGTACAATACCAGGCAGCTGTGGTGTTTTCTCACTCACAGTTTTGGATAAAACTCCGGCCATCGGGCCCTGGAGCAACAAGGCTTTCGTTTTCATTTGACCAAAATCCTCCAAATCCTTTATTGCGCCCAGCTTCATTAACCCACATCCATACACGAATGCCACTATCCTTGTTAATCAATTTATGCGTAAGTGCCCACTGACACTTGCTTTTCCCCACATTAACCCTCCCTCCTCGGGCGCGGTTTAGGCAACGTCTACGCACCGCAGGAAATTGGATTGGTCATGTCTCATCATTGTCTCAGGCGGTGCTATCGGTTTCACTATAATTGCTTACAATTTGTGCTGCAGTGAGGGGTGTGGAGGTCCACGGCCAACTTGACAGCCCTAAAGGTCCCCTGCAAAGTGACTCAAATTAAAAGTTTTACTCACCGTTTCTGCTAACAAAATAAATTCATTATCTTCAAGGGGATTGTGTGGGTCGGAGGGAGGGGGAGGGGTTGGCCCTTCCTCACCCTTACAGAGAAGTTCGTAAAACAACACAACCGCAGATAACACAGACTTTGGCCATGCGCCTGTCTGGGTTTGCTCCCTTGTTTTCTTCTTCCTAAAATAATGAAAAAACAAAATTAGCTTCTCGGGTTAAAAGGAGGGAACAATCCACCTAGAGTTGATTTTGTGAGTTTTTTCACAGGCATCCTTTGCCTTCCAGGCATACCTGTTAAGGGGTTCAGTGAGTATGAGAGGGACGGCTCCTCTAGTTGGCAGTTCTACCAGCACTGGCTGCCCAGGAGAGAAAACCGTTCCTTCAGGAGCACCGAGAGTCTGGGGCTTTGGGGTTAAAGTCGGGGCTTTAGGGCAAAAGGCATTTAGGCGGGGTCATCCGTTTACCCCGCAGCGATCATTGACCTGGTTAACCACATCCCAAAGGCATTCCCCTCAGCGTGGCTCGTGAGGTTTCAGCAATTGTTTTAAGAGCCTGTTAGTCCGTTCCACTATCCCATTACTCCGCTTCTCTAAGAGCTAAGCTCACAACCAAGAATCCCTTTTCCCACCCGCAATATTGCTTCTCAGCATCCTTAAAGCTCCTGGGGTAAAATCCAATTGCTTGGATAGGACCTTCTGGTCCCTTTTGCCAACAATGAATTGATAATCCCAAGCGTGCAAACCCCCATTCAACCTGGACAGGGTCAGTGGGGTGGGTAGGACCCAAAGCCTGGTGAGCACTTGCTTCAAACACTAAAAGCAGTAATGCTTCATCACGTACAAGAGTCCATTCCCAAGCTGCTCCTTTTCGCAGCAGATTGTGTAAGAGCCGTGCAGTTATCGCAAAGTCTCAGATGTGTTTTCTCCAAAAGAGCAATAAACCCAAGGCGTGCCGCAGCTCCCTTTTCTTTTCTGGAATCTTTACCTGATCTAGTACTGACAGGGTGTCCGGTGAGATACAAACTGACCCTCCTTCCCACCCTATCCCTAAAAATTTCACCTCATCCGCAGCAGCTTCTGTTTTCTCCTTGGCTATCTGGAGTCCCAGAGACTCTAAGTGTTGTACCGTCTTTTTCTGTGTTACCTGGACTGGAATAGCTTCGTCCCCTCCTATCAAAGCTTCATCAATACACTGATAGACTCTAACTCCTGATTCCAGAGGAATTTGGTCTAATTCTGAGGCCAAAGCACGATGTGCTAACGTGGGAGCATGTTTACAGCCCTGAGGGAGGTGAGTGAAGGTACATTGTTGTCCCTCCCATGTGAAGGCAAAACGATCACGGTCCCCTTCCTGCAGGGGAACCATGAAAAACATATCTTTGACATCAATCGTGGCCATCACCTGGTGAGCTTGTTCCTGAATTTGTGAGATTAGTTCAGCTATATTAGGCACTGCTGCCATCAAGGGGCCAGTATTAGCACTGAGTCGACGATGATCTACCATCAGTCTCCACTTCCCGTTCGGTATACGCACTGGCCACACTGGGGAATTATACGGGGAGTGAGTAAACATTAAGATTCCCCATTGTTTAAGATCCTCAGTCACGGGGGCTATCCCTTCTCGGGCCCCTAACGGCAACGGGGAGGGTTTCACATTAGTTATCTTGGAAGGGGGCAAGGCAGGCGCCACTTGCAACAGGCACACTTCGGTCCAGGACATTTCAGCTAATCTTCTGATTTGAGGAGTGCCAAAGGACCACGAGTCTCCCGGAGTATCATACCACTGTCTGCCCTTCAATACCTCTACGCCCAAGACATTTGTTGGGAACGGGCCTACTGCAGCCTTGGTGTTAACTGAGTCTTCCTCCCCGGGCAACCACGATGTTTCCAAGACCACAGATACCGATCGGGTTTCCCCCAAAACATCTAGAGCGGTTAGGTTTTTAGATGAAGTGGGAATTCCACATTGCTCTGCCTCAGTCCACATCAGTGTGGTGATTTGTGCCCCTGTATCAATGAAAAAAGTTACTGGTTTCTTCCGTGGCCCTATTGTTAGCGGTTGCAATCGCCAATAGAACTGATCTACACAAAGTAGATAAACAGGCACTCCTTTATTCCAGTGCTGGGGAACAGGGGGGATAGCTCTACCACAGATGTGTTCACCAACAGGTACAAAGTACAACATAGTTACACACTTTTTCAGCAGAGTCATGGTTCACGTGAGATCAACAAAATTCATAAAGTTTAATTTGACCCTACTAATGATTGGCTTTCGCTTACCTCACCTTACCCGTATTCCTATTCTACAGAAATCATCGGTCATCTTTACTGATTGATTTGAATAGACTGGGGGGAGAGTAGTGATTAGCATACTCTTGTTATTTCCTGGAAATCATTATCATATGCAAATGCCTCTAATCCATGCGTGGTTATGTTGGACGGGCGTCCTCTGGTGGTCGCCGATAGTCTTCCTCACTGTGTCCGCCGGCTGACCTCCATCCGTGCGCGTGCTCATTTCATCCTTTGGCTGATCTCCCAAGCCAAGGCCAGTTTTTCCTGGCACCCCTTGTTTTAATTCAAAGTCCATAGCTATTTCCACAGTAATCGAGGCAAGCACGATACTAGTTGCTCATGCCTCAGAACTTAACGTACCTTCTGTTCTCATAGCTACTATAACTCTGTATCACCCACATAACCAAAATTCAAGATCAGATTCTAAAATTCAAGCTATTTCATTTGGGTATTTGTAAATTGTCACACTCGGGTTAGAGGAGTTGTCCGTTCTGGATCCACAGGCATCACCATCGGAGAGCCCTGGTTAGGTTTAAGTTCTCTATCATACATCATCTGCAAACAAGCCGCCTTTTGCACACTTTCTACCAGTTGATCCACCGTACCTGTTGTAGCTAGGGGCTCTCCCCTCTCCACAGGGTTCAGCCCTACGGCCCAATACGCTGTTTCTGATTCCTCTGGAGACCTTGCAAAATCCTTCTTTAATTCAGTCTCTGTAAACGGAACCTCTTTAGTAACAATTTGGGGATGGTCATCATCTGCGTCATGCAAATACTCCGTCTTAACTACGGGGTGCATATGAGGAAGATTTCCTACCATGCCCTCTGCTTTCTGCAAGCCCCCCTGGGGACTTCTAACTTTGCCTCCACCTCTCTACCCCTCCAAACGAGTCGCTTTCTTTCCACAATTCGTCTCTCAATGCGTTCTTTAGTACAGAATTTTGGGTTCTTTCCTCCTCTAACACCTGCTTGGTCTCTTTTAACTGCTCTCGTAGCGATGCAAGTGTTCTTTCCAGAGAGTCTACCACAGTATTATCTTGACACAGTTTCTGCCTCCTATCCTCTATGGCCGCTGTCAAACTTGCTCCCAAAACAGCACAAATTATGGCTTCTCCCTTCCCACGCCTAACTGTAGACTCCTGCACTACCCTGATCCTATCCACTATACTCTGTGGCCGGAACCAATGATTTTTCACCCATTCTCGCCCTTGGGGAGACGGGCGAGCACGATAGGTTCCCAAAAAGCCATTGGTTTATCTACATCCACATTCCATTCGTTCAGTGAAGAATGGTCAGGAACATCAACAAGTGTGCAAGCACCCATTTCACCAAAGGGGGGTTATTTCGTCCTGAGAGGGTCACACCTTAAATTCACAATTCCCCCTCTATCACTCTCAGGAGGACACACCTTAAAAAGTTACTTTCCTACCAAAGTACGCCTCAGCCACACACTCACAGAAACCCCGGATAAAGTAACTGGGCATTTCCCGTTTCTCTGAGAATCCTGTCCGTGATGCCAATTACAGTGTCGCAAACCGGTCAGAGACCGGAGCGAGGTTCCGCTTGTATTCCCAGGAACAGAATTAAGAATCAAAACGGAGTCAAGTGCTGCAGAACTTTATTTGCCTGTCACAAGTGCAAAAGGAGAAGAAAGAGAGAAAGAGAGTAAGAGAGAAATGGAGAATGGGAGAATGGGAGAATGGGAGAAAGGGAGAAAGGGAGAAAGAGAGAAAGAGGAAGGGGAAAGGGTTCCTTTCAATAGCTACCACCACGCAACTGACGGCCGGCAGTCTGGTTAGAAAATGGGTCTGTAGAGCAAAGGTGAGAGGCACCCGTGAAGCAATGATGGTGGCGAGGAGAAGCGATGGCGGTGGCAAGGAGAAGCAGAGCAGTAATGGTGCGGGGAAGAAAGTCCCTGCTCTCAGCCCTCCTCTCTGTTTTATTCCCGTAACCCCACCTACCACTAGCAGTGGTGCGCATGCCCAACTCCGTTGCTGGGAGGTGGTTTCCAAACCAGGAGATTTAGGTGATTTCCGACCCCCGGTCTGGGCGGGTGCGCGGGGGTGAGGTAGCTCCGTTGCTATGGCACTGGTGGTATTGGTGATTTTGCTCCAGTAACGTCAAGGAAAACAAACCAGCACAGTCTCTGACATGGGGCAGGAGAAAGAAATAGATTTGACAACCAGGTCCACCACTGTATTCCTTTTGCGTCCTGCCTTATGTTTCATATTAAAGTTTTTCCAGGGAGCTTCTTCTGAAAAGACAAAGGGGATAACGCCGCGCCAAACGTGAGCATCGTTGGTGTGGCGGTTGCTGGCGTCTCTTGCCGGCTGGCGAGGACGCCTGCTTTGCTGCTCAGAATGGCAGAGCCGTTGAGGTGGGAAGGGGCCGGGGGAGGTGACCTCTCAAGGCCGGGTCAGCAAGAGCGGCCGGCCCACAGGCCTGGCCAGAGGGGCCTCCAGGCGGGACCCCCACCCGGGCGGGTGCACACCAGTCCGGCGGTTACACGGCAACTGTCATACAACATCACGTCGAGTGGCAAAGCGGTGATGTCACAATGCAGCAATGTGACAACACCATGATGCGCATCAGCCAGACTGCCAGCGAGCCGCTATATATAGAGCCGCTGGCTGGGAGACCGGCTGAAGCGGCAGCAGCTGGGTGCCTCTGCAACAAGAGGAGACAGCGCAGGGTCGCAGCGCCAGGAGAGCTCTTGGAAGGAGCCATGGAACATCGTTGCGCTGCTGGCGTCCGAAAGGCAGAGGCACGGCTGAACACCCGGGGAGAGAGGGGAGAGGTGAGCAGCGGGCCCATGGAGAGGGCTCAGCCAGGCAGCCCGGGGCATGGCGGGGCTGCTCTGGGGCCTCGGATGTGCCTTGTCTTCCACAGCTGTGCGGGAGGCTTGTTGTTCATCTAGCAGCTGAGTGTCTCTGTTTCCTTAGCTCGGGCACAGAAGACAGCACCTGGAAAGAGGAGGACGTCCCAGGCTGCTGGACCCTGAGCTGCTGGACCTCCCACTCGGGGTCAAGATCCCTGTGCCACGCGGCTCCAGGCCTCTCTTCAGCAGGGGAAAGCTGGGGGAAAAGGTAAAGGAAGTAGAAAGGGGTAGAAAAGAGCTCTCTTCTGCCACCAGACAGAGCATCTAGGCGCAGGGTTACTTCTCTGTTGCAGAGTCTCTGTAGTAGGGAGACCTTTCCTCTGGGTGGGAAGGACTCCAGGGATTAGGCTATAGCTCGGAGGACTGGAAGTGCCACCCCGTGTGCCTGAGGAGCTCGCAAGAGCATCCCTCCCTCCCAAGAACACTCTCTTGCCCCATTCTGACTCGGCAACATCTCTCTTCCAGCTTCACCGGCCCTCCTGTACTTTTAACCTGGGAGATCCATACTGTCGCCTCTTGAGCACGGAGTACAACTGCCTGCACGACCCACATCTGGAGGCGTACCACAGGCGCAGTCATAACTTTAGGAGCCTGAAGAGGGCCGGTTATGTCACCAGCGATGGCAAAGTAGGTTTTGACATCGTCAGGTTGATCAAACCGGTTCCCCCCAAGTGGTCTTCCCCGAGCAAAGAGGGAGTGGGTTCAGAGGGGGCACCTTCTCGCCCACCAGGTTCGGGCTGCTTCGGGGAGGCGCTCTGCGTAGCTGGCTTGAGAGTGCATGGCTGATTTCTCCTCTCGTTGCTCCCTAGGTGATTTGCGATCTCAAAGAGTTCAATGAGTACAGGCAATATCTGAGCACTCTCAAGCTGGAGGCAAAGAAAATGTCCAGGCAAGCAGAGGTAGGCAAAGCAGAGTGTTAGTGGACAAACACGAGCGGCATGCTGCCCAGGGCTGGGGCTGTGCTGGCTGCATCTCGGGGAGGCGGTCAGTGCAGCAGAGGTGAGGGCCGTGCTGCTGGTGGGCCGGGCGTTGGGGTGGCGGGGAAAAGGCACTGCCCGGCTCGGAGCTGAGCTCACGCAGGGTGCTGGGGTGGGCATGGGCAGGAAGGTCGTGGGTGGCAAGCGTGCGGCGTCCTGAGGGAAGAAGCCCTTCTCTTCGGCCCTCGTCGCGTGGCTGAAGCGGAGCGCTGGCCTGGGCCCGCGTGAAGCCTCAGCACGCCGGGCCCTGAGCGCTCGTCCGGGCTGCAGCGAGCCACAGTGACCCGGTGTCGTCCCCTTTCAGGGAAGGCTTCAGCAGCACCTGCCCGAATTAAAGGATGCCCCCAAGGTGCCGGGAGCTGTGGACACTTCTCGCCTGGCAGAGCGGCTGCTGCAGCCTCGAAAAACATCTTGCCCACCTCAACCCAGGAGCAGAAAAGTCTCCCTGAGATCACGGCGCCAAACGTGCTCCCAACCTGAGCAGGGAGAGGAAGGTGCCAAGCCGCCCCGGAGGCTCAGTAGTGACGCTGACTCCGAGAGGATTCCGCCAGGCATCCTTGCAAATGGTGTGTTCGAAGCTGCATTTGAACAGCAAACTGCAGGAGGAGCCCAGAAGCTTGAAGAGCTGTCTGAGACTGCAGTGCAGCAAGTGTTGGAGACGGTGAATCTCCCTAAGAGAGAGCCACAGCCATCCCAGACGCCTTTCTCAAGGCTGCACCTGGAAGAAGGAGAAGGATTCCCCGGAGCATCTGAACAGCAGAGCCTGGAAGCCAGCAAGGGAGCAAAGTTGCCTGTGTTACCACCGCTGCCAAATGCAGCCGCTGCTGAAGTCTCGCAACTCTGCCACACGATTGTCAGGGAAAGCATCCAACGTGCCATCTCGAGAGTTCAGCAGCGCCATGCAGAGCGGACTGGCTATGGTAGAACCGTTGTCCCTGAGGTGCTTGGAACGGGGAAAAAGAAATTAGAAATGAAGCCAATGCCAACAGCCTTAGCCACATCTTTGGCTCCAAGGACCATACCTGATGACAGCGTTGACACTGTATTAGTGTGGACGTGTGCACCTGGGCCTGCACTGACACTGAAATTGAATTTTGGAAGGCCTGTCGCAACCCCCTGGCTCCAACGAGATGGAAAGGAGAGCTATCCCGCTGAGGACGCCCTTCCCTCCTTGGGCCCACCCTTTCCCAGGCAGCCCGTCCCTCTGGCGGCTCTGAAGCCCCCTGTCCAGACAGGAGCACGGCACAGATTGGTGAACATTGAGCTCGTCCAAGGCAAGCCCCAGCAGCCCATGTACAAACAAGGGCGTTAGTTGGGAGACTTGCGGACAATGGCCTCAGCAGGTGTGTGGCCAAGAGAGCTGGAGAGCCCCTGGGCAACTCCAGCAGGCAGCAAAGACGGACCTTACAGCCTTGTGCTTCCAATAAAGAGTTGACTCCCGAGTGCTCGCCTTGTGCCTATGTCGTGGTTTGAGCCTGGTCGGCAGCGAAACACCACGCAGTCACTCGCCTACCCACCCCCACTTGGGAATGGGGAGGGAATTGGAGGGGCAAAGGGAGAATCGCGGTTGAGATAAAAACTGCTTAATAAGCGGAATTGTAATAAAATAATATGGTGACAGTAGAAACGGGTAATGTGCAATGCAATTAATTGTTCATCACCCGCCGACCGACACCCTGCCCCTTCCCGGCTAGCGATCCCGAAACACAAAGATGCCACAGGAGCCATCCCAGAAAGGAGAGCGTGCACCTTCCCGCCCATTCCTTCCTTTATAGGGTGAGCATAACGTCACATGACATGGAGTATCGGCCAGTCCGGGCCCAGGGCTCCAGCTGTGTTCCCTCCCTGCTTCTTGCGTGCCTGCACACAGGCGGGGCACGCGGAGCTGGAGAGTCCCTGAACTCTCAGTGTGCCACCAGCACTCCTCCAGCTACCAAAACCAAACAGGAACTCTATTCCAGCCCGAACCAGGACAGCCTACCTTCATTCAAGCCAGGCCGTCCCGTGGCCTCCTCAAGGCCTCTCTCAAGGCCTTTCCATTTCCCCTCAGGCCCCCCGCCACGACCCTTCTGGGGCAACTGAGGTTGCGCCGTTTGCTTTTTGGTGCCCCCACAGCCCTCCATTTCCCTTTGCAGGCCCCCTAGGGCCCTCCGTGTGCCCCCTGGTGCGGCTCAGGACTCCTCGTGTGCCTTTCAGTGCCCAGCCCCAGCCCTTTGCGTGCCTCGGGGCACCTGCCTCAGCCCGCCGCGTGCCCTCGCGTGCCACCCAGAGCCCTCCCTTGCCTTTCCTGGAGCTCCGGGGAACTCCTGTTCTCCTCGTTACCCCTCCGGACTGGCTGGAGCCGAGTACGAGGGGGAGAAAGTTTTCCGATGCTGGGGTGTTGCAAGCCGCTCAGAGACCAGAGCAGGGTTCCGCTCGTATTCTCGGCAACAGGATTAAGGCTCAAAAGGGTAAATAGTTTCTTGTGATATCTACCGCCACGCAAATGATGCCCAACAGTATGGTTAGAAGATGGGTCCGTAGAGCAAAAGTGAGAGGTGCCTGTGAAGCAATGATGGTGGCGAGGAGAAGCAGAGCGGTGATGATGTGGAGAAGAAAGCCCCTACTCTCAGCCCTCGTCCCTATTTCATTCCCGTAACCCCACCTACCACTAGCAGTGGTGCGCATGCCCAACTCTGTCACTGGGAGGTGGTTTCTGATCCCCGGTCTGGGCGCCTGCGCGGGGGTGAGGTAGCTCCGTTGCTATGGCAGTGGTGGTATTGGTGATTTTGCTCCAGCAATGTCGAGGCAAACAAAGCGATACAGTCTCTGACAGCACCCCGTGACTCGACAGTGCTGTCTCACGGAGGATTTTCTGTGATGGTAGAAGGAGAAAGTGAGAAGGAAAGAGGTAGTGCGCAAGGAATTAACTGTATAAACACCGTCACCAATATCATCTAGTTAACAACTGGCAACAAGTATAACATGTTTAACAAACTTTATAAAACCAGAGTGTGCTATAAACCGACTTTTTTTTTTTTTTTTTTTTTAAGGTTCGGTGGCATCAGAAGAAAAGGGGAGAGATTGTTTACGTGGATTATTACAGGGTGGGCATTTATAAGGGCAAAACACCACTGTCAAAAGGACTTTTAGAGCAAATATTTGGAAGGTTAAGGTCATATAAAAAATTCAGGTTATTGCAGGCATGCATTCCACACTTTTGCCTCGATGCCATGTAGTTTAGGCCCTCATGGTCTGCACATCCATTGTTTTGCTCCGCCGGGGTCTGGAATGGCACGTGCAGCAAGAAAATCGATTTCCACACCCCCCTTTTGCCTAAGGTGCATGTGCAGTCTGGGTATAGAATCTTCTACCCCAAAGTTAGGCAAAGGTAATCAATTTCTGTCTGTGTCCACCAATTTCTCCACCCCGTGGCTCAAGATTGCCAACACTCGAGGGTGGTATAGAACAAGGGAAGAAAAAGAGAAAGAGAAAGAGGAGGAGGAGGAGGGGAAAGGAAAAAAAGAAGTAAAAAGCAAAAGCTACAACTCATACGATTTGGATGGTTTCATGCTTGTCTTGTTTCACAAATCTAACCTGATTTGTTCCGTCAGACGAAGTCACAGCAATTGCTTGCATGTTGCTCACAACGCTCTGGATTAACCGTACCAGGCATGGTATAATGCAGGGTAAAAGCACTGCAGCTGCTAGCCTGCACAACAGCTGAAATAAAAGTTGTTTCACCCCTGGAGTCCGCGGTAAGCAAGACCATAATTCACCATTCCAACCGTTCCATATTTGAGTGGGGACGTGGGCTATTTTCTGAATGTCCATGGTTAACTGAAGAACCACTTCACCTACATCACTGCTTTCCAGACAACAGTTACAAACATTTCATTTTCCACATACCCCTCCCTTTTTGGCCAAGAAACAATCCAAAACCATGCGGTGTTGCAGGATTGCGGTGTGCATCTGTTGAGATTGTTGATTCAAAAGATCTATAGCACTGGTGCTTTTGCTGGTAATAATCTCCGGAACCGCTCGCAACCGAATTATGCGATTCAGATTATAAATTGGTTCCCTTGCCCCTGCTATCCGGTCATTGGGATTCCAAGTGGCCAGCCCGCAATGTTCTATTATTCTCTCGGGAGGCCACTCGTTTTCTCCCCACTTTTGCGTCCCGCAAAAATATCAGCCTCAAGAGATCGCTTATTGCGAGCAACACCTTTGTCACCTAAGGTATCGTATAGCCTTATGCCCAGTTGGGAACCACCTGGTTTTGGAAGAATTAAAAATAGAGGCCAGATGATCCCAACGTGACAAATTCCTGACCAGTTTGCTGGCAGTTGTTTCTAGGCAGTATGTCCACAAATCCAATACTGTCCCTTTTTGGCTTTGGCACTGCTAGCAAACGGTCCAACTGGGGTCTTTGGGTTCTGGGAATAAGTCGCATTATCATTTCCCAAAGGGCTAAAAAAGGTATTGCTTCTACTTCTTTGATAGCCTTTCATCTGGATGGTACAATACCAGGCAGCTGTGGTGTTTTCTCACTCACAGTTTTGGATAAAACTCTGGCCATCGGGCCCTGGAGCAACAAGGCTTTCATTTTCATTTGACCAAAATCCTCCAAATCCTTTATTGCGCCCAGCTTCATTAACCCACATCCATACACGAATGCCACTATCCTTGTTAATCAATTTATGCGTAAGTGCCCACTGACACTTGCTTTTCCCCACATTAACCCTCCCTCCTCGGGCGCGGTTTAGGCAACGTCTACGCACCGCAGGAAATTGGATTGGTCATGTCTCATCATTGTCTCAGGCGGTGCTATCGGTTTCACTATAATTGCTTACAATTTGTGCTGCAGTGAGGGGTGTGGAGGTCCACGGCCAACTTGACAGCCCTAAAGGTCCCCTGCAAAGTGACTCAAATTAAAAGTTTTACTCACCGTTTCTGCTAACAAAATAAATTCATTATCTTCAAGGGGATTGTGTGGGTCGGAGGGAGGGGGAGGGGTTGGCCTTTCCTCACCCTTACAGAGAAGTTCGTAAAACAACACAACCGCAGATAACGCAGACTTTGGCCATGCGCCTGTCTGGGTTTGCTCCCTTGTTTTCTTCTTCCTAAAATAATGAAAAAACAAAATTAGCTTCTCGGGTTAAAAGGAGGGAACAATCCACCTAGAGTTGATTTTGTGAGTTTTTTCACAGGCATCCTTTGCCTTCCAGGCATACCTGTTAAGGGGTTCAGTGAGTATGAGAGGGACGGCTCCTCTAGTTGGCAGTTCTACCAGCACTGGCTGCCCAGGAGAGAAAACCGTTCCTTCAGGAGCACCGAGAGTCTGGGGCTTTGGGGTTAAAGTCGGGGCTTTAGGGCAAAAGGCATTTAGGCGGGGTCATCCGTTTACCCCGCAGCGATCATTGACCTGGTTAACCACATCCCAAAGGCATTCCCCTCAGCGTGGCTCGTGAGGTTTCAGCAATTGCTTTAAGAGCCTGTTAGTCCGTTCCACTATCCCATTACTCCGCTTCTCTAAGAGCTAAGCTCACAACCAAGAATCCCTTTTCCCACCCGCAATATTGCTTCTCAGCATCCTTAAAGCTCCTGGGGTAAAATCCAATTGCTTGGATAGGACCTTCTGGTCCCTTTTGCCAACAATGAATTGATAATCCCGAGCGTGCAAACCCCCATTCAACCTGGACAGGGTCAGTGGGGTGGGTAGGACCCAAAGCCTGGTGAGCACTTGCTTCAAACACTAAAAGCAGTAATGCTTCATCACGTACAAGAGTCCATTCCCAAGCTGCTCCTTTTCGCAGCAGATTGTGTAAGAGCCGTGCAGTTATCGCAAAGTCTCAGATGTGTTTTCTCCAAAAGAGCAATAAACCCAAGGCGTGCCGCAGCTCCCTTTTCTTTTCTGGAATCTTTACCTGATCTAGTACTGACAGGGTGTCCGGTGAGATACAAACTGACCCTCCTTCCCACCCTATCCCTAAAAATTTCACCTCATCCGCAGCAGCTTCTGTTTTCTCCTTGGCTATCTGGAGTCCCAGAGACTCTAAGTGTTGTACCGTCTTTTTCTGTGTTACCTGGACTGGAATAGCTTCGTCCCCTCCTATCAAAGCTTCATCAATACACTGATAGACTCTAACTCCTGATTCCAGAGGAATTTGGTCTAATTCTGAGGCCAAAGCACGATGTGCTAACGTGGGAGCATGTTTACAGCCCTGAGGGAGGTGAGTGAAGGTACATTGTTGTCCCTCCCATGTGAAGGCAAAACGATCACGGTCCCCTTCCTGCAGGGGAACCATGAAAAACATATCTTTGACATCAATCGTGGCCATCACCTGGTGAGCTTGTTCCTGAATTTGTGAGATTAGTTCAGCTATATTAGGCACTGCTGCCATCAAGGGGCCAGTATTAGCACTGAGTCGACGATGATCTACCATCAGTCTCCACTTCCCGTTCGGTATACGCACTGGCCACACTGGGGAATTATACGGGGAGTGAGTAAACATTAAGATTCCCCATTGTTTAAGATCCTCAGTCACGGGGGCTATCCCTTCTCGGGCCCCTAACGGCAACGGGGAGGGTTTCACATTAGTTATCTTGGAAGGGGGCAAGGCAGGCGCCACTTGCAACAGGCACACTTCGGTCCAGGACATTTCAGCTAATCTTCTGATTTGAGGAGTGCCAAAGGACCACGAGTCTCCCGGAGTATCATACCACTGTCTGCCCTTCAATACCTCTACGCCCAAGACATTTGTTGGGAACGGGCCTACTGCAGCCTTGGTGTTAACTGAGTCTTCCTCCCCGGGCAACCACGATGTTTCCAAGACCACAGATACCGATCGGGTTTCCCCCAAAACATCTAGAGCAGTTAGGTTTGAGCCTGGTCGGCAACCAACCACCACAGCTGGTCACCCTCCCTTCCCCCTCCCCACCTGGGAATGGGGGAGGGAATTAGAGGGGTGAAGGGAGACTCGCAGGCTGAGATAGGAACAGCTTAATAATGGCAATAAAATGAGAACAGTGATGATGATAGGAAAAAAAAGGAAATATATAAACAGGCAATGCACAACGTAATTGCTCACCACTCGCTAACCAATATCCAGCCCGTTCCCGGCTAGTGACCCCAAGATACCAAGATCCCGCAATCGCAATCCCGGAAGCAAGAGAGAGCTCCTTCCCAACCACCCCTCCTCTATATAGTGAGCATGACGTTCCATGATACGGAATATTTCATTCTGGTGCGCTGTCCGTGCTCCCTCCCAGCTTCCTGTGCCCTTGTGCACGGGCAGAACATGGGGAGTCGGAGAGTCCTTGAAGTCTCGGTAGCAGCTGAAAACATCAGTGTGCTGTCAGCATGCTTCTCACACCAAACCCAAAGCTAAATCCAAAACACAGCACTCATCTGGTCCCTGAAAAGGAATATTAACTCTATTTCAGCCCAAACCACGACACTGGGGAAATGTGGCACCAGGGACCCAGAGAGCATGTGCCAGAGCTCACCCAAAGGGGAGCGGTGGGAACAAGCCTCTCTCTAATGGGAACTCGCTACCCTGCTGTGCTGCAGGCTCAGCCTCTGACCATTTCTCATGCTGAAGCTTCCCACTGAGACAGCTGTAGCCATTCCAGACGCCTTTCTCAGGGTTATATGACCAATGTACTCTCACGATGAGGATGGTGGTAACTGACTGGGCTGCATGGCCAGTGGATGAATGGCAGGGTGTTTCCCTTTACTTAACCCTTGCCTACTACATTTACTATAGCGCATGCAATTGCAGTTCTCATGAGAAGTAATATGGTGCTAAAGGGAGTCCTGTGCACCCCCTTTGTGGTGAGGTCTGTAGTGCACAGTTGGCAACACTGTGGGGCTGTGGGAGCTTGACTAGCTTAGCCTGGGGACCAGGTGGCACTGGCAGTAGCATTTTGTGGAACAACTTGAGGTCATTTCTTCTTGTCCCTGGCACTTGTTACTTGGGAAAAGGGACTAACTCCCTCCTCACTACAACCTCCTTTCAAGTAGTTGTACAGAGAAATAAGGTCTCCCCTAAGCCTCCTTTTCTTCAGACTAAACGCTCCTAGTTCCCTCAGCTGCTCCTCATAAGACTTTTCCCCTGAAATGTTGAAGATGTTCCTGCTCATTGCAGGGCTGTTGGGACTAGATGACCTTTACAGGTCCCTTTCAACCCAAACTATGCTATGACTCTATGAAGATATGCCAATGGGCAGTGCTGTTCTGCCTCTCCCATCACTCTGCCTTTTGAAGGCATCATTTCCCTGGCTGAGGCCATATGTAGCAGGGAGCCAGGGTCGTGGAGGGAACCAGCATGTCTCCAGGAAACTGCATTCATCGTGGGCAGTGGGATACCTCAGCTCCACTACTATGCCCCATCAAGGGCTCCAGCTCACTGTTTTTAAGCACGTCTGCTGCTCCTTTACCAACTCCCCCGGGGAGAAGCCTCAGCCGGGCTGACGCTGCTGTGGGGCTGGTGAAGCAAAGCACAGCCCCATCACCTGCAGGAGCCCATCCCACAGGGATGTGGATGGGAGAGGATCTTAGCTCAGGTTGGTGCTTAACAAGGGGCAACTTCCATTGCTGCTCCAGCTGCCAGGACCAGCAGGGCATATACTGTGCTGGGTGCTGTGCTTCTAGCTGGCTTCCCATCTTTCTTCAGCACCTACCCACCTGTGTGCACTCTGCTGGATCCATCCCTTACACCAGCTCCTTCCCTGGACAGAAGATTCCCTGCCGGCACAGGACATAAGCGAGACAGTCAGCTGCAACTCAGGCAAACAGTATCTAAACCCTCCTCTGCTGGGCAGTGCAACGGAAGTAGAGCGAGCTGAAGGGCAGGGAAGCACACTGAAATGCTAAATGGCCATCAGTCCCTGCCTTTGGTTGGAAAACAGTTTTGACTGAGTGCTCAGGGAGACTTCCTGCACTGCTCAAAGTTTCCTTTAAAAGCAGCGGCTTTGCAGATGCCCTCCACCTAGATTATTTTTTTCCCCAGATGAGGAAACTTGGTCACAGAACAAGAGACCTACCCGTAGGGCAAGGGTGGCCGTGTTTCCCACATCACTATTCAGTGATCTGTCCCCTAAACCGAGCCCCCACCTTTGCTTCAGACCCTCAATCCCAGCCAGCCGCTTTTGCCATCAGCTCCAAAGCCTGGGCAGGCGTACCAATGCACCAATGAACATGGGGAACACGCATCACTCTTCCCTGATACTAGGGACATTAACACAGACAAATGAGATAGGGACAGAACATTCCTACAAGACACAACTTGAATTTATATTTATTTTATATATTTTTTTTATATATATATATACCTTTGTATAGATTAAACTGGGCAGGATTTTATCATATACATTTTTTTGGTATAATACATGAGGAACAGGAACAGGAACACAGCAAATATAAATCAGTACGTTCCTTGAGTGAACTCTGCTGCACTGAGACTGAAAAACTGCATGCAGTGGGGAGACAAGAGAGAAGGGAGATCGATTTTATTTAAAAAAAGAGAAACAAAGACGATCTAGGTACAACTGTCAACAGAGGAGCAGCACTATATGTGGCAAAACTGTATAAATTAAAAGTAAATTCCACTCTTGACATCTACTATGCTTTAAAGTGCAATGATGCCTGATTTATTTACCTAGAGAATACAGGAAAGATTACCCCCTCTCCCCATTCCAATCCGTCCCTAAAAAAAAAAAACAACTCAACCCCCCCAAAAAATCCCAATAAAATAAATCTAAATAATATACATTATCCACAGTCATATAGAGACACCTACATCTACTCAGTAGCACCAAGAATTTGATATGCGTGTAATTAAAATCAATTAAAATTTGGGAGCAACGGTAACATCTGTTTGCTGCTTTTGCAGACCTCCTGCCCTTTACTGGTGTCATGCAGGAGAGGTGGCTCTCCCTGTGCCGCAAGTGAAGGCGACAGTGTCCTATCCTCTCTCCACCACCAGCCAAACTGTTCTGGCAGCAGGCTACAAACACGCACACACACGGACACAGAGCACAGTGAGCGCAGCTGAAGGTTACATGAAGGGGGTGGGATGGGAAGCCGAGGCCCCATGTGTGCACATGGGTGTCTGTATGTATGTGTGCACGTGGGGGCGTGTGTGTGGAGGGAGTGGGACTAATTACAAAGAGCTGAAGGGCTGCGCGAGTCCAACACACGCCATGAGCCTCTTTGGTGACAGGGAGATGGGAAGGGTAGGGAGGGAGAGAAAGGGAGTCAGCACAGCCCCCCTCTTGTGAGCCTCCGGCTGTGATGTCTTCCACGGCCAGGGGCCTGTGCGCCACAGTTCATCTGTCTCCACGTGCCACCTCTCAGCAGGCCTCAGTAGCCAAAGGTCTCCTGGGAAGCATAGACCATGTAGAGGAAGCCATCCTCGTCCTTCTCCTGCTCGTAGATCTCCGAGATGGGGGTAGACACACTCACCATGCTGTGCTGGTTCACCAGCAGGAAGAAAGCCTGGGTGGGATTCAGCTGCAAGCGCCGCCTGTGGGGGCAAGGGCAGGAGGGCCTGGGTCAACCCACCTGGGGTAGGCACTGACAGCAAGTCCTACCTCCCCCAGCAACGCTGTTCACGCGGGGCCAGGCCTGCAGAGCCGGGACCTCCTCCCACACGCTCAGGACATGGTGTCTGAGCCCAGCTGAGCTGATCAGGGCTCTGCAAAGCCCCTTTCTCTAAGTGCTGCTGGCAAGGGCAAAGCAGAGAGGCCTCTTCCATCCGAGTTGAAGGACAAAAGAAGGCTACTGGAGTCCCTCCCATCAGTTTCTGAAGTGTCCCTATAAAGGAGAGGTCACAGTCCTTCACCAGATGCGAAGAGCCTGTCCCCCTCCCTGCCCCGCCAAGCAGTCTGTACCACAACACAAGGATGCTCTGGTGGTCGTGTCCCCATCCCCACTCTCAGCAGCTGCCTCTGCCTCATCCTCACCCCATCACTCTGTGTTCAGAGCCTGTGGGTGACGACAGGGTCACAGCATGCCAGTTTGGGCCACCCCACTCACCTGATTATTTTGACCAATTCACTCATGTTGACATGGTCTGGGACAAGGAACTTGGTCTTGTCCAGCACTGGCAGCTGTTTCTCCCCTTTATAGCGTTCAATAATGACCTGGGGAGAAAGTCAACGGTAGGGTTAGCCACAGTTTACAGTGCGCCAAGCACTGTCCTCAAGGTCAAACACAAATCAAACTAGCAGAAGTGGAAAAGCTGGGGTAGGGCTGCACTTTGCTTCACTCTCACAGGAGAACAAAACAAAGGACGTGAGCAGTGACCATCAGGTTGGCTGCAGACAGCTCTTCAGCAAAGAGTGACTGCCTGAGCCAGATGGTGGAGGGCATCCGAGATAAGTGAACTAAAGCACGAATTGCTCTGGCTGACTGAGGAACAGCAAGCATTAGTAGATTGATTTAGTTACTTCCTCCGACACGCAGGAGATCTCGAAGAGTGAAGTGTATTTTAACATCACTTTCAGGCTGACCAAACCTACCAGTTTTGCTAGCTTGAGCTAAGCCATGGTGCACAGCAAGAGACATTTTCCTTCCCTTTTGTGCCACAACTCTGGGCTGCTGCCATTCGGCATCACCCTGCTTGCTTAGGAAGAGCTGTGGATATTCCCAAACAAGCAGTTTTTAGAAATCACAGTGAAGCCACCCAAGGCATTCCTTCAAAAAGGGGAAGTTTGGATTTTGCCAGTCCCACTCCTCATGTTAACATTCAGACATACTGACTTCAAAAAGGATCAGAAACTGATGGCCACTTCTCCCATGAGCCACCAGAACTGGGCGGTGAGCTTCCAGGGCACTTCAGCACAGTGCCACCATGGGGACAGCCTGTCCTCCCCTGCAAAAGGTCTCACTTGGGAAAGTTCTTACTACACCTACATTCTGAAATGGCTAAATAATTATTGCTGTTCAGTTTTCTTGATATTATAACTAATGAATTTCTTCTGTTAAGGAGTGTCTGCTGACAGCTACAATTGCTATTCTAAACCAGCTTGGCAGTGTACTATTTGTATTCTAAGAAGTAAGGTGGTAGGCAGTTAAAATAAGTAATGATATTATTTATAAAGCTTAATACATTCCCACTGCAGTGATACTGACTCTCACATCTCTCCAGTACCTAGTTTTTTTCTCCATAGAAAGACACTTATATACTAATCAGTTCATTGTCCTCTCTGAGCTGAGACTGAATATTATTTTTGACTATAAGGCAAGGAGCTCCCATAAATCATTTTCCCAGGTCTTTTTCAAAAACACACTGGAGACTGCAAATGCCTTTGGACAGTGGAGGGATGGAGCAGCATGCAGAGATCAGGATGCCCAGACGGTGGCTCTGTGGAGCCAAAAGGACCAGGCCAATCTCTGGGATCATTCATCTGCCTTTCCCTTGAACATTTGTTGACACAGCAACCTCTATCAGCAGCAGCAGTGTAACGCCTGCTGCCTGCCTACACCAAAGCCAAATCAGACACTCTGGTTGGGATGCTGTGGTATCAACAGTGAGCTGGGAATGTCTGATGCGTTCCCCAGACTGCAGGGCTTGCCTCAAGGCCTACCAGGATGGGCCAAGATAACATTGCAGAGAGTTCCCGGATAAGGGAAGGGTGCAAGGCACCTTGCTGAGAGCTCTGCACCTAAATGCCCTCTGAAGAGCCCATCCTGGACAAAGCTCACAGAAAGGGAATGAACCTAGGAGCCTGATGGCCAGAAAAGCAGCGTATGAAGGTCCCCATGAGTCCATCAATATATTCTCTCATTGGCCAGGTCTCTTCTTGATACTGAGCAAGAGTGCCAGAGAAAAAGACCAGGGAAAGCCAGGTGTTGCTCCTTTGGACCCTTTTGCAAGATGGGTACCTGATGAAAGAAGAATTTTCTGCAACAGACTAAATCATGCATCCGGATGCCCCTTACCAACCTGCTAATGTCCCCTCCTCCCTCCAGAAGGAAGGCAGATGAAGGACAAAGACAAGAACCATCCAACTGTATTTGAGTCTTATTTGGACAGATGAGTATTTTGGCTAAAGGGAGATGAATAGCCTCAAGGAGCTGGACACTCACAACAGCCACATACGGGGGATGCTGCTCTGGCCACTGGGAAATGTAGAGGTAACAGCAGGACCTCGAGTTTTTAAGTGGTTTGCACAAAGAGGCAGCTACGCAAACTGTCTGTGCATATACCTTTGCATGCAGCGAGTGCCCTGTACACCTGGGCTATGACTCATTTCTCACATCTAGCAGGAACAAAGGCCGATGTATCTAATTACCAGCCAGTTACATCCTACAAAGAAAAGCCTCTCAATCCAAGAATGGGCTGAGAAGGATGTCCTGGCTGTTAAATCAGCAGCTGTCTTGTACCCTGAGCAGACAGAGGGCCTGTCATGTAGAACAACTCCAAGAGTTTCTGGTTCCAGAACATGAGCTGCTATTTGGGTAAGGCAGCTATGGGAACAGGTGGCCAATGGACAAAACATTCTTGATTAGTGTTGGAGGGAAACTCATGATCAAATGCTAGTATGACATCCCTGTGGGTCAGGGCTTGTATACAAAGCCACCTCCCCTCCCATATCCTCTTCCAAGCTGCTGCCTCAGGCCTGGCAGTTCCTCAGTGCAGAAATAACACGAGCTGGGCACAGGTGGAAAGGCTCAGGGCAGACCCTGAGGACCCGGTCCCATTG